TTTTTTTTGGTCTAAGTTCCATCTTTCACATTGTTATCACTGTGCACCATTCTTGATCTTTTCGATACGGAGCACACATAATCGTTCACAGGACACTCGCCGAGCGGAATCACGATGATCGCGGCCGAACGATTTGTTTTTTTTTTCTCTCTATGTCGCTGCTATTTCTCAGCCGTGGCAGGTGTATCGACGGATTAACAAGTCAGCTACTGCTTCACGTAACAGTCCTTCCGTACCGAAAAGATTAATAATAATGACAAATCACGCAGCTTGATTATCGAGAAAACTCGTGCGATGCGTAAAAAAAATGAAGGATGATCGAGTATTCACGCGGTCGCGTTACGCGCGCGAGTGGACTAGATTTCTCTCAACACCTGTGCGCACTGCTAATTGCACCGCTGAAATAAATCTCATGAATGTAGAGTGCTGAAAAACCGACGACGGCCAAAGTTGGTCAGAGAAGACAAGCTTAGTGTGAGTTGCAAGCGATTGAAAAGAAATTACCATTCGTTTTTCGTTTAGATTCAAGTCTCGACTTCACCGAAGCAGAAACTCGAGTGCGAGCGTGTGCAATTGCCGGAAAACGTTTTGCTCCGTTGAAAGCGAACTTGAAAGTTAATCGAAGAACGCGCGCACGAAAACTCGCGCAGTTTTTCAACATCCTACATCGCGACGCCAAATTAAATCTCTCTCGTGATCCAAACGTGGGTGTAAAATTTTTGTCGGCTGACTCGAAATTATATCTCCTACTTTTGCGTATCGTCTAACAGTAGCTACGGAGGAGCCCCACCCTCCCCCTCCTCTCCACCCCCTTCAAAAATTCTAATATTAATGCATAGATTATATCATCTCTAACGTCTAACAGTACTCATGTTCGTGTATGTTTCTATTTCAGTTATAGTATATATCGACTCTACAATCACAATCTGCGTTTACGGAGTGCGTTTTGCGAGTCATTGTGCGTCATTGAATTGTGGATCTGCTCGTCTCGTGTTACATCGTCGAATCGAAGTCTCGCTGTTATGATCGCCGCCCGTGCAAGTAATATCAATCCATTCTGGAACTATATCTTCACTTTACCGCCATAATCCATGCTGATTTTGGTCTTTTTTTGGACATTTGAACGAAGCAATACGTTCTCAAAAATAAACAGATATCAAGTGAGGCGGTAATATTATTGTTAATAATTTCTAGTGTAGAGAAAAATAATTAACATTTAATTAGGACATGACATGCCTCGGTACTGCTTTTGCAGTTTTCTTCCTGATCGACAAGACTGATTATCAAACTGAATTCATATTAAATGCACGGCGAAAAACGGGCTCCAATATTTGTCATATCGATTCACAAGCACAAGCAGATCGAATATCGGTCGAATGTTACATACATATACAATTACGTACTATAGGATGGATTAACACCGGCACGGTAATAGCAATTATTTATTGATTTGAAAAACAACAACGATGCTGTCGAGATATGTGCGATTATAATGCGCTCCAATGAATAATGTATTCATTAGATATCACAGTGGGAATATATTTGTCTTATAAAACAAAAATTAGTTTCTCTCTTTTGCTGAGAAGAATTCGGTTTCCCAATTGAGAATTTAGCAGGTTTTGTAATTAATAAGTGTTTTAATCACTTGCAATACAAGATAAATGACTCCGATTTAAAAAATACTTTATCGAGAGTTTGGGAAAGAGAAAAAGAGCTGAAATATTTTAACATCAAAAACTCTAAAGAGTCCAAAGCCTAAGAGAGGACTTTAGTAAACCGATCCATCAAAAGTACTTATTGGAAAAAACGCAATATATCTTAATAATTTCGTTGTTACTTCACAAAAATGACAAATATAATCGCATAGCAATAAATCACTGTGTCGGTGTTATCCCGCCTTAGGGTGGACACAAGAATCATTTTTCAACATTTATTGTTAAGTTTTCAAATTTTTCAAATCATACAGAAACAATCTCTCGTTTTTTACAAATAAAATAATAACTTTCGGAAATATTTTTATCTAATTTTTTAGAATTTAATAAATAAAATAAATAAAATTCGATTAAAAGAACTTTAACTTTAAACAAAACTTTTCATTATTCAATAATCTTGGGAGAAAAAGGCAAAACAGCTATTCGCAAGCTATTCTTCATGACAAATAATTTCCATATAGAAAGATCGGTAATTGGCATTGTTATTAAAAGCCGAAACCGTATGTCCAATAAAAAACATGGAAGAGTCGGAGACCAGCATTATCCATTAAAACGCCTTCAAAGTTCATGGAGAAATTATTTAAAAAACCGAAGAGTCCATGATTTTTTAAAACTGAATACATATTTAAACTAAGTCGGATGGTTAAAATGATAATTATTTGTCATGAAGAACAGCTTGCGTATTTCGTCTCATTTGTTTGCTAAACGCTTCGACACACACACACACGTGATACCGTTTATTATGATTTTAATTGTAACGACACTGAAAAAGGCCTAATATAGGCAGAAACGTTTGGCAGAAAACTTTGTAATTTTTATAATATAATTTAATTTTTGCACGAACACCTAGCAACGGCTCTTTTTGCCTTTTTCTCCCAAGATTATTCGTTAATTTATTGGAGCCTTAGTATTATTATTAATTTTTGTTTTCATTATTTCATTCTGAAATCCATTTTAACAATCGTAGAAACAAAACTCTAAAAGTGTTTCATCATCAAAGATCACGCGAAATTTGTAATCTTCTCCAAATTCCCAGAACCAATTTCAAAACGGCTCGAAAATCCTGGATTTTCTATTGCATGTGACCACCCTACATCTTACAGTACATTAGGCCTTCTTAATGCCTTACACTTCCGGTTAGATATTTTTAAATCAAGCGCAATGCCAGGATATTTGCACATCGTCGATTAAAAAATGCGGAGCTGTCGATAAAGAAATTGAAAGCAAAAATCTTAAAACGGAAGTATAACGCACCAACGCCTACTGTACTATGAAGTCAAAAGATGTTTAATTATTTGCTTTCGAAATGACGCCGTTCGGTCGGTCAAATTTCGCTTGCATTCCACGACGATTCTCCATTTAGCATGGCGCGCGGCCTAAAAAGGGTGAAAGGCACAAAGTAAAAAATAAACGGTTCAGATTGGCTCAGGCACGTGTCGAGTCGGAGAGCATCGTGACAGGGACAGGCACGATGATTGCCGGGGCGTCAATAATACCACGTCGAGACCCTCGACATCGAAAAACTACCCACCCTGCTCCCATCAGCGTATCAAAAAGGGGGGAATGTACTTGGTACATTTAGACGAGAGTTTGTGTCAACTCAGAGTTTACAATTATTCCCGAAAAGCAGAGATCCCGAACAGAAAACAGAAAGCCCAGAAAACCTCTAGAGAAACGTCTAAAATTCGCCCGAAGAAGCACGATCCATCTTTTGAATGTCATTTACGACGCGGTTCAGACGCTTGGCTCGTTCGACCAACGTCCTAAAGTGTCGAAAGACACGAGAGAATAATGAGAGATGTCAGAGGGTCTTCACAACGTCACTCGGACACTCGCGTCGTTCGGATTCTGACTTTGTGATTGACAGACCGACTGGTATATTGACTTCCGTTGTTCAACCGGGCAGTACACGCTGTATCTTCGCGAGACAAGGAGAATGAGCCACGATCCTTTTCGAAATAAGCCCACCGTGTGCAGTCGGTCTTCGCCGCGCTCCGTCTCCCGCACTCATCGGCGAGCACCGGCCAGATCATTCCGCGCTCGAATGCTTGCATCGAGAATAGATCCGTAGGTCGCCGTTCGAAGCAGCTTCAAGGGCGCAGCAGCGAGTGCCAGCGTTGCACCTGCGTCGGCTGCCTCGCCGTCCGCATGTCGTTCCAGTGCTGCAGCTCCTCGGATCCGGAGCTGTTCAGACCCAAGGAGAGCCAGCCGATCATCTCCCGTCCCTTTCTGCCCATTCCGCCTCGCCGACGATTGTATATAGATAGGAAGAGTGTCACGTCTCCCAATTGGAATAACGCGACCTGCGTTCGCGAAATAAGGTTCTCATTAGATTCAACATCCAAGTTGTGGATTCAAATTCGTGTGAGAAAAGTTTGCCGACACGAATCGCGGGTTTTGTGATCAAGATTTGCTAATGTTCACCCTTCAACAACGAAATTACCTGAAATATAAAAGTTTCCTTGTAGAGGGGGTTCGGCTGGGCGCGTTTCAGGCCAGTTTTCGACCGGCCCATTTCATGGTTGTTGCTGTCAACGAGGACTAGCTTCACGTAAGTGTCGGGTGGTTTCGTGTCGTTGCCGCCTCCGCCACGGAAATGGGAACCCTTGATGATTTCCACTGATAAGCGACCCGTGGTACCGTTGTACGCCAGACCGATTAGGATCTCGGCGACGCTGCCGCCCTTCATGCTGCTGCCGTAAGGTGGCACGGCCGGAGAGGCGTACGACTGGACCGACTGTTGGGATCCCGTGGAGTCGCTACGAGTCAGGCTGTTTGTGGTTCCCCAATCCTGCGCCTGATAGTACAATTAAGTTTAGTTTACAGCAGTTTGTCATATTTGTGCAACATCTCTGTTATACAGCACGTTGCAATATCACAGATAAAGGTTTAACTTCCAGAAGACAAGAATAAATAAAAGCGAACAATTTTGGATTAGAAAAAAGACTGAAACAAATGCTTTATATTAATTCTGCAATCAAATAATTAGCCATTGTCGGAACGTCTTTCTCTTACATTTACCGATCGCACGCTAGAAGACTCCTCTTAATCATTATTTCTTTCGATTTCTGTATTTTAAGCGACTCACCGAGGAAGAGAGCGGCGGCTGAAGAGTCAACCAGAGTGTCGTTTCCAGTTGGAGATTGATTTGATCGAAGGACACCCTGGCTTCGCCCAACAATCTCTCCCGGCGCATCATCCTTCCTCCCCAGAGGTAAACTCTGAGCCGCACTCCCATCGCGTTCACGTCCTCCGGATTTACACGGGGCAGCAGAAAGCTCTCCATGTATTGCGGAGATGTTCCCTGTCGCACTCGTGTTTTGCGCCTTTGTTTTTTTGATGGTAGAAGGACTAAGCGCACTTGACTGCCGCCGATGCCAGAAGGATAATTTCGTCCTTGTAATACGTGAACCTGATGAAAATAATAATGTATCCAACTGTATATATTCTTCATTATTCCGAATGCAAGGTAAAAACAAAATGTTTTATATCATATTTACTGATCGCACACCAGAAGTCTTTTTCTTAATGATTATTTCTTTCAATTTCTGTATTTTAAGCACTAGTTTCATTTTAAATAAAAATACAAACAATCAAGTTGATCGCAGATCTTTATAATCGATCTCACTTCTTGTAGTTTTATTCAAAAGCTGAGAGAGGCTGAATAAAAATATTTGATAAAAGGACGTGGCGCGATGCATGAGGCAAATTCAAATTTATAATTAATTATTAAAATAAAATAGTTATACGAACTGTCATCTCGCGCATCGGGGCGTCGTATAAGAAAGCGACTTCCAGGCTACCGATTTCCTCGGCAGCCACTGTGCCCATCGTTGTGATGACATCATTGGTCGTCGATTCATTTTGCTCGACTTCTATTTCCTGCTCTCTACTGTCGAGTATAATGCTAGAAGCTCCAACTTCCACTACGCACTAAAAATATAAAACGAAACAGAATGTAATACCCGAGCGTTTCTTTACCAACGCAATTCAAAGATTTTTCTCAAATCAATTTCAAAAATTACCTGCTGCTGATCTGCCGGCGAATGTTCCTCCGTGCAACTGCTGGAAGTGGTTCCAGCGTCTACAAACAACATTTGTATTGATAAACGTGAGAAAAATACTATAATAAACGCACGGAATTGAAGATGTGCGTGGACTAACGACAGAAAATAGTTAAGTTAAACATTTTAGCAAATGATGTATACACTATTGCTATGAACATGATAAAAAAAAGATTTTTTTTACATATAGAAATATTGATAATTGCATTTGTGTAATTTTAGGGCACAAAAAAAAAAACTAGAATTGTACTATAGTGTGTGCAGCGGAAAGTTTGTTTGTTACTAACCCACGATGGTCGTCGGTCCATCCTCCGCTTGGATAGTCAACGTATCCGGCGGAGAATGCGAGCGCGAATTCAACCGTCGGAGCGCGTCTTCCTCCGAGTCGGAGCTTGTTTCCGGATCCGAGTACGTGAATGCCTTCCCTGTTAGACAAATATATTAATTACCACGAATCGCGCGAGGCTCTGTGAATGTCTTCTGTCTTGAGAACTAAAAATATCGAGCAATTCCAGAAAATTTAGTAACCGGAAGTTTAACGTAAAACATATCGCAGAGGTCCGTCTCTTCTTTTCTAGCTCTAGGAACTTAACGGCTCTTTAATCGGGCATCTCGTACAAATTCGTAGAAACAAATTCGAAAATTCGTGTTCAGGCTCTGAAGGTTTTTGGGTGATCGGGGTATAAACTAAAATCATATACCTATGTTTTTCGAGATTTGAGATGTGGAGCTGTTGGTGGACTCACAGAGAGGCACACAGACTCCGCCGAAGAGTGCAGTAGACGAGGACGGTGTGAAGCACCACTTCCGAGACAGGTAGAGGAAGAGGGCCAGCAAGAGTACTACGAATCCAGCAACGGCACCGAGAACTGCAGTCGTTTCCACAGGTACTGAAACGTCGTCGAAAAATCCATTAGATTCAATGCGGCTTGTACGACGCAAAAAGTATCATGAAATTCCTTTAAATTTCTTTACTTTTGTACATTTTTATTATCGCATTCCAACTGTTAACGTCGCACACTTTCCAATTTTTCATTACATCTTTTCAAAAATATAAAAAATCTTTTCTTACATAATTAACTCTTTAGCAATATTTCCTGACATCACCACCACGTGCTAATGAAATGAAAAATTACGGATATCCTATCAAGCGTGATCAAGTTTATATTGATCCACCCCATCCTTTCAACGTCATTGATTTTGCTCCTTTTTTGCGATGCTTAATATTAATAAGAAAAAAATACGTTTGAATTATTAGCAATAAAAAAAATAAATAGCGATCTAATTCTTTTGTTTCCGAAGGTACTTTATCTAAATGACTTTTATCTGTTTCTGTCACAAATTAATATTTTACTTGTCTTTTTCTTTCCTAATTTAGCTTCTTGCCATATTTCTCTAGCGAGAAACAATTAGCTTGAAACGACTGTTAATATAATACTCTTTACACTAATTGCTTTCATTATACATAGTTAATTAATTATCCTCACAGTATGTCAAGAAGTATAAAGTTTTAAGCGCTACTCCATCGCACATAAGCGTAATATTTTTGTTTATTGTACATGGTAAAAAATAAGTCTATGTAACAATATAATGTTTTAGACAATCAAAGATCACTGTATGATAATAAAAAAAAAGTGGACGAGCGTAAGAGAGATAGAGAAATGAAGAAATGAAGAGATCGTGAAAAAATTGAAGAAAGAACAGGATAATTTTGCATTTTATGCGACTTTTGCTTTTCCCGGAAATCGCTTGACAGTCGGGATACTTTTTTTTCTACTTCGAATTTCGGCCGACAACTGTATAGACACCCGGCGCGTGTCGTATCGAACGCGTAAACGGCGGCGACGACATGTCACTGCCGTAATGACCTGGAATAATTTATTACCGCTCTAATTGTGACAAGAAACTAAACCACAATGTGGTATTGCGCAGCGTTGCACGCACGCTTCCTGTTGATACAACGCAGTTGATTGCGACGAAAAAAAAAAACTGTTATCCTTCGTTCTTCGTCACGAAATCTCTGTTGGCGCGGCTCGACGCACGGTCGCTCAATTTCGATATCGATAACCGCCCGGAAATTTGCGGTATCCTTCTGTTGCGCGATTATCGCATTTTCAAGCGTATTATATCGTGAAAATTTGGGAATTCCGCTTGCGCAATGCGGATCGTAAGGATTCTCGATTATTCGCAGCGACTCTCCCGATTCTCCTGCGTTCCGAAACAATCGGAACAAGGATCTTGTTTGTTTTCGTTCGTAATAGCGACGATCCTAATCGGATTTTGTTTTTCCGCGTCTTAAAAAAAAATGGAAACGGGAAAAGTTGAATCGGAGGGTGCGAGGGTTGGGTTCCGCAGTTCTTAAATTAGGAGAAGCGACGATTTATCTCTTCACGGCGGAATGCGACGTTAATTCATATTTCTGATGTTCTCCGAAGCGGCCGAATGATGCGCCCGGACGCGACTCGGTACCGTCGTACCAGGAAACTCGAGCCTGGCTGGATAGTGGACTTACCCGCCAAGAAATGGTCTGATCCAGCCAGAATCATGCTCGTCCGCGGTGTCACATTAAAGCTTCCTTACGCGGCTCGGTGGCGCGGTCGGAGTTGCCCCTCGTAGAATAATGAATACATCATCCGCCGCGGCTCTCGGCAGGTGTCCGCTCGCGAGATTGTGAGAAGCGTGGCTGGCTAGCTTTAGGCTAGCCGCACAATAATATGTGGGCGGGGTGTACACACAGCACTCTGTTGCTCGGACCGACGCGACGTGCGCCTACTGCACTGTGACCCGTTGTACGCGTCTGCGCAACCTGGACACGGCCGCGAAGAGTCCGCGTCACTCTCGCCACCTATCGCGATATCAAGAACTTATCTCAGGCGGAGAAACAAACCGGGGAGCGGTGTGTCGGCCAGACGTGCGTATTCCGGGCTCCGCACGCGTACAACGAAGACCGCGATCGTGTGCGCTCGGCCGTTCGACTAATAGAAAAGAGCGGACCGTCTTCTCTCTCCGCCGACGGCTGGAGGCTCGATAGGAACGAGCTGAAAGGCCCCAAAAGTGATCGTGGACACGCTATTTACAACTTTTGGCGCGATCATAAATCAGTAAATAAATAAATAAATTAATTATAAATATTGTTATATTATTATAATCTAAATTGATAAATTTATAAAATAAAATGATTTCATAAGTTAAGAATAAAAAGAGAATTTATATACAATGCACACATTTATTATAATAAAAATAAATAATATATATTATATTAGTAAAATGGCTTTGAAAAAAATATGATACTTTCTTGACTTAATTTAGGATTTAAAATAAATGTTCATTGTATTTAATTTAGTATTTTTGGATAAACTTTCGAAAAGCTATCACCTCCGATTTGGCTGATTTTCAGCCTAAATACTTATTTTATCTAGTAAATAATATTCCTAAATGGATTGTTGGAGCGAATGCCCTCTCCGCCCCAAAATCCCTTCAAAGATAAAACTGTTTTTGTTAATTATTTCAGAAAGTATTTGTTGTACGGAAAAAGTTGTTAAACAAAAAATGAAACTCATAAAAAGCTCTACAAATAAGATCCTACACATATTTCACCTAACTCCAATATTTTAGTCGTTATTATCAAAAATCTGGAGGCAGGTTGTTCCGCCTCCTTGTGGGGGGCTTCAACATAAGAAAAACTATACACATAGGGTTTGGATTGAATCTCGCTTTGCGTGGAAATTCGTAAACCCATGTGGAACCTCGTTTCGCGTGGAAAGTTTATACGTGGGTGCAGTGGGTGCCACTCCTCCTACGAGGGTTTTACAAGTTTTTTGATAGTAACGATTAAAATATTGGAGTTAGGTAAAATATGTATAGGACCTTATTTGTAGAGCTTTTTATGAGCTTAATTTTTTGTTTGACAACTTTTTCCGTACAATGAATACTTTCTGAAATAACAAAAACAGTTTTTTTTGAGGGGGGGGAGGCATTTGCGCCAAAAATCCATTTGGGAATATTATTTACTAGATAAATTAAGTATTTAGGCTGAATATCAGGAGGTGATAGCTTTTCGGAAGTCCATCCGTGTTTTTTTCATTTCTTTTGATTCACTCTGCTAAGAACAGAATAAAAAAATATCATATATATTTGAAAATTCAAGGCCTATCAAATATTCGCAACAGTAGAAAAAGTGTAAAATACAATTTTTATCATCCTCTTTTATCTTTAGAAGCACATCAGCTTTCTTCTTTTCTTCCTCTTTTATCACCAAGCGACTAAAATGTGAGCAATAATTTATTATTTCATTGAAACAAACTCCTCTGTACTTTTCATTCGTTTTTTATTTTCTCCTTGCTTAGAAATCAAAAAAATCTACAATTTTCTCTTCCAGATAAATCTCCTTTCTCTGTTGTAGTCGTGTATGTTGTGTATATATACATAGCAGATCTCTTCTGCTTTGTTTCTTACAATCTAAGCGTCTAAATGTGAGTCATCAATTATAAACAATTTCATAGAAAATTTATTTATGTGATTAAAACAACGCATAAGTAAATAGAATCGTAATCGCTAACCTGTGTGAGCATGAGACGATAAACGAATTTGTACAATTTATTATGCGTGTAATTCTAAAAAATAATCTTACAGCTATATAGTGACAGAAATGTTATTCTTTCCCCTTTTTTTCTTATCAGGTATACCATAAAGTAGTAGTGGTAGTAGCATTTTTCTTGGAGTCTCAAATATGTTCCTCGGATGGTCAACCGTTTCTCGTTTTCCTTTTTGTATCGTGCACCGAGAGTTCACTTTCGAGAAAACGTGGTCGCGCATTATATGTACAATCATAAATAATAGCATAACGTGATGAATATCGCACAAATTCTGAACCACAACTTACAACTATTGCGCGAATTCAAAACGAACGTGGGCGTTCGCGCACGAAATTCTGTTTGAAGTATGTTTGTGTTTTGCATATATATACAGAGTTAACTGTGAGTTCAGTGTAAAAACGTAAATCAAACTAATCTATTGCGATTTTTTTTTCGTAGACGAAATATCAGCGTGTACGGATCGAGTCCTCCAATTGAGATTTGGAATCGGGAAGTTTACGCACTCGAGAGCTTGCGTTCTTCCTCGATCGACTTTAGATTAGTATATAATATTAATTTCATATACCAATCATTCGTTTCTTCGCATCGGCGGCTTTACGAGACTCACGCATTTCACACGATACACATCTGCGTGGTAGATTTGTTCATATCAATAAAGTTCTATATTAAAGATAAATAATCTAATACAATCTACTTTAGATGCATACTAAACTGAATCTTACGCAATGTTTTCATTATTCGCAAAAGTGAGATAAATCTGTAAAATCAATAAAGACCGATTTAAATATTTCTTACATAAAATGGGCGCAATATATTACAAACTTATATCATTCCTCTTTATAATGTTTTTTCCCTATCTTTTTTTTTTTTATAAAAAATACAAAAAAATAATTCCAGATTGAATCCATATTTCGTAAGATCCGCTTTAGATGCAATTTTAATACGTTTACACAATGTACATGAATACTTGTGACCTTGTGTACACATTTTTGTGTATGCATCATCTTCTTCAACTGTATATTATTTGCATTTATTCGAGGGGGAAATTGTATAGAGAGTATTTAAAATATCGCGGAGAGTACAAATAGATGATAAAGCGGATCTCACTATTTATCAAATCCTGTATGTTTCCACACGTGGGAAATAAAAAATGATAGAGATTTCCGGTGAAAAACTAAAGAAAGATTATCTTATATAATTATATTTCATATAATTATTAAAAAAATAAATGTTAATCGTACTATATGGCTTTTCTCTTTTTTTTTCACTTAGCAATAGACAGCAAAAGTCCATCGTTACGAATAAAACTAACAACGGCGGCACAGCATGAGCTATAAGTTCTGGTCCAAAATTCACACTGCGTACAGCACTCAATGCGGAACTTAGAATTCGCAAATTGCAAAGGGAAAAGGGGGGGTGATTTTATAAGAGGAGAATGTTCACACAATTATAATAAATAGCGGAGACCGGTGCGTTCTCTACTTTTACACACTTAAGTCTACTCTGAGAGTTTCAATTTTTTTTTCCTATGTATACTGGCACAAATTGTTCTCCGTTTTTTTTCCGTGAGAAACACACTGCTTTAAATAAATTTTTACTGCACTACCACTTCGATTCAATTCGATTTGACATACGGCTACATCGGTGTTTTTTGATTGATTTACTTCCCCTCGGAAAACTTCTCCCTCAGACTCTTGATTTTGTGGACGAAATACGTCTCCAGAGACTCTGCGCACTTGAAGAACGGCGACTCCTTCGGGTTGTAATAGCGACAATTGTCGAATATCTTTGTCATGTCGCCGATAAACTCGCTCAATTTCTTGTAGGACCGATCGTTTATCCTCAATTCGATGGTCTGCAAGTCTGAAATGCGCGAACCGACATACAGTTAAAAATTATGCCATTTATATAAAAATATACATTTTATGAATGCCAAAGCATAACTTTAGTATTCAGAAAATGTAATGTTAAAGTTATTAATCTGAGGAGAGAGAGAGAGAGAGAGAGATAGAGATAAAATGTTTAAATTATAATCACGATACTTACCCATTGGTTCTTTTATTACTTTGTAATAATCTGGCGCTTCGTTGGGATCCACTGGTTCCATGAACGGCCATGCGCTTTTATGACCCTGAAACGAGTGCATTGATAGTAGAAATGTTAAATCACTTTAAATCACTCACTCAAATTCTTGCTTTTGTCTTATTAAGAATTTTATTTTAATTATTAATGAAAGGACAAAATCAAGTGATAAAAAGAAATTGTTTTAAATGGTATTTCTTAGTACATTATTTTATATAATCGTTATACAAAACAGGGTGACAAACGTATTATCATCGTAGAATCAATTTGCATAAATCTTGAGTAATATTTTGATGAAGATGACTTACCTGTATCTGCTTGATTAATTTTTTCAGCAGATCGAGATCCTTCGCGTTGAGGTTTTTCATATTGGCGAAGTTGACAGAAGAATTTCGCTGGCAATTTGGACAGACGTATTCGTCGATGTTGTCGGCCTCCGATTGAAGAATGCCAACGCATCGACCGTGAAACCAATCTTGGCATTTGTCACAGCATATGTAAAACCTTCAGAAAGAAAAAGACGCATTATTTCAGACTCTAATTGCACGATTAAAGTAATTGTGTGAATATACATTAAGAGAGTATATGAGAGTATAAATTCATTCATAAATTAATGTGATTTAAATATTTCACGTCACAACATTGATACAATTATGGTTTTAATTATGCTTTTATGTCAAATTACTTAGATTTTAAATTATATTATTGAATTTTAACAAAATTATAAGATACAAGGACTAGACTCGTATGATATAAATCAAATTAATACATATTAAAAGGCATCTCGAGCCATCGCTGGATGTTAGTGCGAGAATTATTAATTTTTTCATATAGAAACTTAATTCGTCTACTAGAGACAATATTTAAAGTGTACACTGATCTCGGATTCGAGATACTAAAGTGTACGAAAATTACATACATTGATCTCATTATTAAGAATCTAAATGTATGAAATTAAGGAAAGAAAGAAAGTCATTTGAAAGAAGGAAGAACGAGAGAAAAAATATCAGAGCGCGAGTGACTTTAACAAAATTGTATTGTAATTGTATTGTATTGTTATTAACGCGAGAGACACTTACTGAGATTCATCGTAAGGCTGTTTGCACAAACAGTACAGTTCCTGCGTATCTCTTGCATGTCTGCATTCAGTACAAACAAATTCTGACAAAGACTTGCTCATTTCTTCCGTGATGCCCACGCAGTCACCGTGGAACCAATTGTTGCATAAGTCGCATCCCACATAAAATCTACAAAAAAGGAGTTATTTATGAGTTTATTAATTTTATACTCAAAAGTCTCTCCTTGCTAATTAAATAATGTTATAAGTAGCTCGTCATTCAATACAATACAATGCAATCGTCATTTCAAATGTAATATTCGAGTGAATTTTAAAGAATATTACAAGTTTCTTTTCACGAGTTTATCAGCGGTGTCTCATAATTAAAATATTAAGTTGGTGCAAATGAAATGGCCGTTTTTCGTATATTAAACTTTCCTTTGTAATTCATCTTTCTTTACTCAGATAGCGCTGTATGTATACCATTTGACAAATATGTGTCTTAAGTGTGAATTTGTACACATAACTTTATTTATTTACTGCAGTATTAATTATTGAAGTTCGCATTAAAGGCAACATGGAAAATAAAGAAATTCGTTTAATTTATTTATATGAGTTCAAACTCGGTCATAGTGCGGCCGAGGCAACGCGAAACATTAATACTGCTTTTGGCGAAGGTTCTGCCAGTGAAAGGACGACGAAGCGTTGGTTCAAAAAGTTTCGGTCTGGAAACACAAATCTCGACACTTTACCTCGCGGGCATGCACCCACTGTCATTGACAACGCCGTTTTAATAAGTACGATTGAAGCAAATCCGAGAACAACGGTTCGAGAAATTGCAGGAAGACTCAGTATCCATCATTCAACTGTCGTTCGACATTTAAAAGCCACGGGAAAAGTAAAAAAGTTGGATGAATGGGTTCCCCATGAACTGACAGAAAAGAACAAGATGAAACGTTTAGACCAGAGCTCGGAATTATTTCATCTTTTAGGCCGATTCTCGTGGTATATGCCTCCTTTCCTCTCCTTACCGCGCGCGCGGCAACCGCTAGGGCCAGCGCCGCCGAGCGTTAAGAGCGGCGCTATCCGATAAATGTTAGGTTCTTCTCCCTTGATCATTAAAAGTGAAAAAAATGTATTAAAAATATTTTTTTCACTTTTAAATTTATTATGTGGAAATATTGAGTTGGCAAATAAGTTCGTTCGGGTTTTTATAACGGAATATAACACATTTATTACGCAAATAATTTTCAATGCTTGTGTGGGATCTATTGAGTGCTGTAGCAATCTCTTGCACCGATTGGGATGAATTATTATCGACGAAAGCCTTGACATCATCCGAATTAATCTCAGGGCGACATCAAGCAATATACAAAATTTCTAGAACGGAATTTGGCAAACCATTTTTGGCATGCGCGTTCTGTTAGAGCATCATCCCCATATACACGGCATATTTTTTTATGAGCATCCGCAGCTCGCTTGCCTTTTTGGAAATAGTAACGCAAAATATGACGATAATGCACTTTGTCCACTTCCATTTTTACAAGTACCAAGCACACAATACTAATGTTAGCCCAAGCAAACTTTATGGAAAATTTACGTAAAAGATAACCTTTCAAATGTCGAATTTAGTTACAATATAGTACCGAAAGGAAAAGAGTGAAGTCGGCATTGAAAGTAGTACCAACCAAAAACCGAACGAACTTATTTGCAAATATTTCAATAGATTTCTACGTTACTCATGAGGTACTATTGCTATTGAGGAAAAAAATATTTTTAATACATTTTTTTAACATTAATTGGATAGCGCCGCTCCTAACGCTCGGCGGCGCTGGCCCTAGTGGCTGCCGCGCACGCGGTGAGGAGAGGAAAGGAGGCGTATATCACGAGAATCGGCCGAAAAGATGAAATAATTCCGAGCTCTGGTTTAGACTACACATTGCAAAAAAAAAACCATAAAAAAAACTAGACGAGTTGAGGTTCGAAGTTCTTCCTCATCCTCCTTATTCTCCAGACATTTCACCAACAGATTACCATCTATTTAAGCATCTGGATGGGTTTTTCACTGGGAAAATTTTTCAAGAAGAGACTTATAAAAAATGCATTCCACGAATTCATCGACTCTCGTTCTTCAGATTTCTTTAAGAATGGCATTGATGCACTTGTATCACGTTGGCAAAAGTGCATTGAAGTAGATGGAGACTATTTCGATTAATAAAACAAGTTTTAAGTTTGTCAAATAAAAGTCTAAAGTTTAAATTAAAAAACGGCCATTTTTCATTTGCACCAACTTAATACAAAGCTTTTTTTTAGTTAAAATTTGAATACTGAGAACAAATATCTTGAAATATTAAATCAAGATGGCTCTGAGATCTTACTTAGTCTCATCGTAGGGAGTTCTGCACAAGCAGTACAGCTTCTCTTTCTTCATACGAGTCGCAGCTGCTGCCGAGCCGCTCGGTGGTGTCGCGCTGTTTCCTTGAGCTTTGTGCTTCTTCGGCCTGCTGCCGCCACCACTGCGGGATGGGCTAACCTGTTGCGTCGCTTGCGCATTGGCCTTTCGCTTGGCGCTGCCTACCTTCACCTCGTCCTGCTTGTGTCTCTCTGCTTTCGTCCTCGTGGCAAGTTCCGCTGACAAGTCCTTCTGCAATGATATTTATTCAGCATTACAACATTTTGTAAATTTCAATAATTATTGATCTTAAAAAATTGATGCGGGCAAAGAACTTCAGATCCAAATTATCGTGACGACATTATATTCATTATTCTAAGTGAAGTCGCGCATATGGTATTGTAGAATGCTCCTTTCATTTTAAGATGGTTATTGATTTGGCAAACTGGAGAATTATTGCATCTAAGTTACACGATTAAAGTTAATTGTAAATCGCAGGAATGCACGTGAGATTCAATTCGGCAACACGAGACTTTGCGATTTTACGTTACTATCATATGTTATAAAGTGTAATTTAATTTTATATCAATTATTAGAACGATTCGGCTCATAAAAATTAATATAACAAAACAAAGAAAGATGAAGAGCCAATGCAGGGCTTTGGTTGCAATGTTAAAATCTTCTTTTATTCAAAATGTTGAAAAGCATACGTTTCGGTCGAACTTTCAACCATCTTCAGGACATTTAAGTCTTAATACATAACAGAATAAAGTCTTTACAAATATTCAACATTTTGAATAAAAGAAGATTTTAACATTGCAACCAAAACCCTGCATTGGCTCTTAATCCTCCTTTGTTTTGTTATATTAATTTTATATATTTTATAACGTGCTACTTGTAACACATTAATGCGCCATATTTACCTGTATATCAATTTGAAGTTCTTTCTCGAGCAAGGCTCTCTTCTTAAGAATATCTTTTTTAAGAAGCTCTTTATGCCGGAACAATAAAACCTGCATCCGTGAGTGAACTTGTTGCTTTCTTCGTTGCTCTTGACTGTCTTTTAATTTTGCAGATCGATTCTTGTTGGGCGATGTCTCATTATCTAATGTTTCTGATAGCTTTTGTACTCTGCAAGTAATTGTCATATTTTTTTAGAAATATATGATGGGTAAGCTTATAAGTATATTTATAAACTTACTCATCTTACAAAACATTTTATTTCTTATAAAACTAACAAAATATTTATAATTATATATTATATATTATTTATAAAAATTATTTAGTATTTTTATTAGTATGCCACATTATTGAGATTCTTTTACTCTCAGCATGGCATACAATCTTTTAAAGTGTTTTTTGCAAAAGAATTAAAAAAGCGAAACATAGAGTTGCAAAATACATAACAAAAAATGTAATAATGATGATCTCCTTCGATATTTTAGCCAATAGTCTTCAAAAGGACATCATCATGATATTAAAACATTCTTAACTCTAATGTAGCTTAATGTACTTGTTTTGCTAGGCAATACATTTGTAAATATGTGCTTGGGATGTAAATACACAATACCGAATTCGCTATACTTCATGACACTAAAGCCAATACTTTAATAAAATGGAATAAAATACGAAAATAAAGCTTTATTATGCTGTATTTTTAAAATTACATTAAACAAAATAAAAAACAATGCATTTGTTTCAGAAATTTAGAAATTTTACAATTTAAATTCGATGTGTTTTTTTTTACAAATGTTAACAACACATTTCAATATATTCATACCTATAAAATTATAAAGAAAGGAAATTTTAAGCCTGAAAAAAGAACCTTAAAAAAATCTAAAATTTAGAAATGTTAAGGATGGTATCGCATTATAAAAATAAAAGCAAAATGAACGCAATACATAGCTTTGGTTAGTAGGACTGCCTAATACAATAGTGCAAATTTATTCAATTCTTTCGTTGAAAAAAAGAATAAAAAACAGAAATACACAAAATAATAATTTATTGTTTTTAAAAAGTATGTTGAAAATTATAAAAAAAATAAATAAGAAAATAAAACAATGATATATTGCATGACAATTATCGAGTTGTTTGAGTAACAACTATTGGAGGTTTGAGTAACAACAACCATAAAGGAAAGAAACATTAAAGTATACAGCCAAATTGCACTACTACGTTGCATTGCATTATTGTATTGCACCCGAGTATATCAATTCGTGTGCTTACTTTGGGGTCGTTTCGCGATTTTCTTGCTTCAGCGCAGGTCTCTTTCTAGGCGTTTCTATCCAATCTTTGTCATCTTTATCTTCGCTGCCACCAGACGCTTGTACGCTTGTCGGCGTCGTCATCGCCGCCGCCGTTGGAATGTTCGACGTTGGTGCCGGTCGTTTGCGCGATGGCGGACGCGGCGTCGTCACCACGGGCGAGTTGTGGTGCGTTTGATTGCTGGTCATCGAGTTCTCTACGCCGCCTTTCATCTGCTTCTCTTGGTAACGTTGCAACTGCAACAACTTCTCTTCTATCTCCGGATTGAGGTTTTCTTGTTTCAAGGCAATTTTAATTGCTGAAAAATTTCGCACAAGAGTCAGAAGAAAATTCTCATACATATAAAATATATCTTTTGCATTTAAGAGTTAAATACAAAGCCTGTATTGATTAGACTCAAAAATTAAAAGAAATATGGGCTTGTAGGCCAAAGCAGATGTTTGTACTTAACGTTTCGGGCGTATCACAATATTGTCTACTTTAATCGTACTTATTCTGTTGCAAATCGCCATTTTCTCGCAGATGTTTCTCCTACTGCTTTTATACTTTGTATGTCCGTTGCTAGCTGCGTCAACAATCTTATATCTTGTTTATTCCAACATCCTTGTTATATTGTTGTTATTTATAAACAGATAGCAAGCACGAATACCTGCTTTGATCTACAAGCTCATGTCTTTCAATTTTCTCCTTCCTTTTTCAAAAATGTGTAAATTTTATATCTTTATATAAAGATTTTTTATATTTTGATATATATATAATGTATAGATTATGTATAAGATTCTTTATATAATGTATATATTTATAAAAAGATATACATTATTGAATTGTTAAAGCAAATTTTTTTCAACTTATTCATATGAGAAACACTTTCGAGAAAATTTTGCGGCACGAAAGACATTTCTAAAACTTTCTTTGGTTAAAACTACTGCGAAAAAAAAACTACTCCGAACATGTCTTGCTTCTGACAACTCTCGTTTATTACTTTGCATACTAACTTTGTTGAATGTAGTCCGGCGTTAATACAAATTTATTCGGCGCCGAGTCGCTTTCCTCTTGCAGAGGCTGTGACGAAGGTTGCTGGCCGTTGGCTATATTTGCCTTCTGGCTGTCATCCTCGGTCGCATTCGCGACGCGTCCCACGTGCTGAACGACCACTTTCGGCTTCTCCGCTGATTTTGCTGTTACTGTTTGTGGAAGTTCTGGAATGCTTTCGGTGGCTCCTTGTGGTTCTAAACAACAAGAACCATGCACAGCGTTGCAAATACCAATAATAATGAACTTATTCTATTGTTTCAAGAATAAGTACATTCAGTATTATTTATCAAATGCTTGGAGAAATGAAAAAACTAGCGTACCAGCAGCAGGCGGTGGAGAAACTGTGGATTGTTGCTGCTTCGGAGTCGACGCGACAGGAGTGCTCGCTGTCGACGAAGCCTGCGAAGTCTGAGTCTGAGCCTGAGCCTGAGGCTGAGGCTGAGGCTGCTGCTGCTGCTGCTGCTGCTGATTGTTAGACGGCTGTGCCGGTTGAACGGCTAAATAAATTTTCGTGGGACCCAACACGCCTTGCTTGCCGGTCGTCGCATGCGCTACAAGCGATACAGCATCTTTAATATTCGACCACTCGTCGCGCAGACCGCGTGTCTCGAGATTTTTAGACGCCTCACCTTTGAGAAGCTGCTGCTTCACCTGCGCCTGCACCATGCTCAACTGTTGCGCCGTGAAATCCGCGCCTTGGAGACCTTGCAGCACAATTCGCGGACCTTCGGTCGTCTGAATCACCTGCGCCGTGACGCACTTAATCACCGTGCCGGGCGGTTGTCCCGCCAGCAAGGAAGCTTCGATGCTGCCGGGGGCGGGCGCCACAGCGGGGCTCTGACTGGTCGTCACCGTCGACGCGGTGGAGGTGGTCGCCGTGGTGGTCGTCGCGTTCGTGCCAGCGGCCGCAATCGTCGTGGTTTGCGTAGCTTGCAACACTAGAAGCACAATTTCATCACACATGCAGTATTCCTCATTGAGATTCACTTCCTTCAAGCTTCCTCGATTCTTTCCTTCGCAAAAATGTGCGAGTAAACTAATCGAAATAACTAACCCTGCTGCGGCTTGCTGGTGGCGACGGTGCCCTTCACAATTATACCGCTGTTCGTCGAATTCAGCTGCACAATTTGATTTCCAGTGGGTGTGCTACGTATCACCACTTGATGGCCTCCAATCGTTGTCAATTGCGCCTTGCCCGTCGCCAATTGTTGCGCCAAATTTGCATTCGTGACGACTATCTGATTGCCGCTTATCACTTGTGCGCCCGAAGATATTACCTATAATAAAAAATCACTATAATATTCTCCAACAAAATGATACTCGATAAACAATTTTGTTATAGATAAATGAATTTTGAATAAGAAAAATAACAAAATAGTATCTTTTACGGCTTCAACAATATCGTTCTGAAGATTAATTCGCGATGATTGTTTATGTAATCAACTGTTAGGATCGTCACCTGTGCTGCCTGTCCCGTGTTGGCAACCACGATCGTGTTCTTCGTCGCTTGGGTCGGCGTGGCCGCGGCCAGAGTCACAGTCGTGGCTTTCACGCGCTGAACGACCTGCGGCGATTGCGCCTGTTGCGCCGTCGAATTCACTTTAGGACTCGTGTTGGTTTTAGTCGCAGTCGCACTCTCGGAAGTCGCCGCTTTGGCCGGGCTAGCAGTGGTCGCAGTCTTCGTCTGAAAGACGACCATTTGTAAATTGACGAATTGGATGAAATATTCAAATGTCTATCGTTTTTCCCGCTCTATTTTCGCCATTACGAAGCATTCCGGGAATATATTTTCCAGTGAATTACCTGCGAAGTGACCGTAGACGTCGTCGAATTCGATTGCACGCATTGCGCAAGCGGAGTGCCCACTGTTTGGCTTACGTTCAGCACGTGCAGCTTCCCGTCGGGCATCTGAACCAACTGCTGGCCGGGCAACAAGCCGCGGACCTGCAACTTTCCGTCCGGCCCTCTGAGAATTTGCACTCTTTGCTGCACTTGCACAGGCGTGTTGGTGCCTGGAATAATGCAATGTCAATAAAAATTATCATCAAACTGTCAAAGTGAATGAATCACAAGATATTTCGCACAATCAAGCCTTTCCCGACGAGCACGTTACTTTTGCTGATTTTTCAACAACAAATGTCCATTCTACAAATATTGTTTCAAACAACAAGTACCTGCTTGCGTGACTCTGATCAGAGATTGCTGATTCACCGCTTGGGGTTGCGACGTCTTCGGCAAGATGCTGGTAGGACCGGTCACTACTTTAGTGGTTCCGTCGGCTGCTGAAAATGTCGGACGATGCCAACGTCAGTTTGACACGTACAAGTAGCACGCATCTAGAGATAAGAACAAAACGACTAGATACTCACATTTCGTCATGTAAATTCGCCGTGTACCAAGGAAAGTCTTGTTCTGCGTGGGCGTCGTCAAGAGAGACGTCAGTTGCGACTTGGTGCTATTCGGATTTGCCGGAATCGCGACCTTCGAAACTAATTTAACTGTGCCGTCTAGAAAAAGAATTCGGTGTTACGCAGTTGTCTTTTTAATCGATAATTCGCTTCATTGACCGTTGAAATTGTTAAATGCGTGATGCTCCGAAATCAAATTTCAACGAACAAGATTGAAACGGATGTTACTGCGTGCAATTTGATTATTCTTCCTCGCGTCAGTAGTCCGGCTAACCTACCGTGAGAGGAATTAGCTGTGACTTTGACGAGTTGCGTGGCGGGCGACGTCGAGTTCGCCGGCTGGCTCTTGAGAGTTTCCAGGGCACGCTTCTGCTGATGGGCCGCTCGCTGCATGCGCAGCTGCTGCTCCATCTTCTCCTTGATCTCTTCCGGTGTCGCTTTGCCGATCACGAGCTGCTCGCCAGCCAGACCGGCCGTGCCGCTGGCGGCGCCGGTTTTGTTGCCGCTAACAACCACCGACTGCGGCACTCCTGAACGACTCCTAGTAATAATCTGGGCATTAGCCTTCTCTAACCTGGAGACAAGGACAGACACACCAAGCGGAGGGTTAGTTCCCAGTGGAAGAAAAGAAGCAAGCAAGGGTTAAAAGCAAGTCAGTCCATTTTGAAACGATTTCATGATTCTCGAAAGCATGAACAGAGGCCTGCTTTACACAGCGTAGTTCGTTCAAGTGAAAAAATCCAGAGATATCGGCAAAATTGATACTCAACCTCCTGAAAAACTGTTTACAAAATAAAATTATACCGCTGAAGAAAGAAAAACCCCATTGCGCGTAAATGTGGAAACGTTGTCTTCTATGATAAATACATTTCTAATCTCGAAATATAAAATTGAAAAGGAATTTTCTACTGAAAATCAATTTGAAAGTCGCTTAAGAAGATGTTTAACATTCGTGAACTTGAACAAACTCGACGAAGTCGACCAGTAGCCGGATGAGAAGATGAGAAAAATATTTTAGAGACAATTTCACAAACGCTAGCGACGTGAAACAACATGCAAAATATTTTGTCGTTAGACACGCGCTGCGACAAACGCTCGCCGATCGTATACCTGTCTCCGTATTGCTTGATCTCCCAGAGCTCCAGCTTGTCCTCGTCGACCCATTCTTCGGTCACCTGTGGCTCGGTGCTCTGCGGAGATTCCGGACGCTTTCGTTTCCTCAAACCGCTTCTTATGGACGTCACCTCTGCGCAATTTTTTTGCACATAAATATACAATGCAGCAAGTATAAATTTCGCGATCAAGAATATATCAAGCGAATTGTCTAATTAAAATTGTGAAAAAATATTTGTTCCAACAGCCGCGCTTCCGGTTTCTATTCTCTTTTTTTGTCATCGTCAAGTATTGAATCGCGTAATAAGTAATTTCGTTTCCTAAACTTTACTACAACTTCGAGGAAGAAATATTTGCCCGTTGGAAAGACAAGCAATTTATTCTCAAAATTCGAAATCACTGATCGTTCAATAAATGATCCACAAACCTCTGACTTGTTTCGGAAGCTCGAGAGGTATAACGACCTTCCTGCGCAAGTACTGCGTTCTGTCGAGGAACTGCCCGACATGGCGGTGCTTCAGTATCTCCAGCGACATGATCTCGGTGTCGGTGGTGATCTGATTCTTGCCATCGGTGGACATCGGCTTGGCCGCCATGTCGTCCCACCTTAGACATCCCCAGAGTATTCTAAGCTGAATCGCCGCCGCGGCCAGTGATTTTAGGCCGACAGTTCTGTACAACCAGCACGTTTTGAACAGAGGCCGCGGACACGGATACGGCCACACCGAGAGATTCGCCTTGGCCTGATGATGGAATCCCTGCACGGGTATCTTGCCGCCGACGCGAGACAGCTTCCTCAGCTCGTGTTGCGGCAGCACCAATATGCTGCGGTGCTTGTTCTTCGTGCAGAAGGTCGAGCAGAGAGGATACTTGACCGGCGTGCGTTTCTTTCTGCGATCCGCCAGCGAGATGGCGACCTTCTTCAGATACACCTTGCCCTCCGTCGACGTCGCCGTGTAAATACGCTCGCTGCCGTCGGCGTGCAGCTCTTTGGTGACCGCGCTACGCTGCACCGTTCTTCCTCTACGGTTCACAATCATCACCGTCTTCGCGCCGCTCTTGTTCGTCGTCGTGGTCGTGACTTCGGACGACGACGAGACGGTCACGGAATTGCGATTAACGGTGGAGTGTCCCTGCGCCGCGCCACCCGCCGCGCTCTGTACCGTCTGCTGAGTCGTCGTGATTGTCGTCGTCGTCGTGACGACGTTGCTCGTCGTCACGGTCGTCACGTCCGCGCTCGTCTCCGTCTTCTCGTTCTCGAGCTTGATCTTCTTCGCGGGTGGCGAGGAGGCAGCGGTGTCCTTCGACTTGGTCACGTTCGTCGCCGTCGCCTCCTCGTTGCAGTGGGTCGCCGACGCCACTGCCGATTCCAAGTCCCGCCTGATCGCGTCCTTCGACTCGTCCAGGACCTCGGTTTTCACGCTCGCCTGCGGCGAAGACGAGACGGAGAAGGACTGGTGGTTGTTGAGCGCGTTCGCTTTACGCATCAGCACGATGAGCTCGCGCTTCAGGCGCATTTTCTTCATGCACAGCGGCGAGTAGCAGGTTTCGGAGGTCTGCGCGGCGACGATGTGCACGATGTTGTTCTTGTTGCCGACGTTGGTCGCGTTACAGTAGCGCGAGTAACAGCCACCGTTCTTGCAGAACTTGAGAAGATCCGCGTACTGCTTCCGCGTCTGCTGGATACGTTTGCCGACTGACACCAACATTTCCTTCGTCGACGCGGACACAGTTCCCGTTTTGCACGCTTGCTGCTGCTTGCCGACGGACGACGACAGCAGAGCCTGCAGAGAGCCGTCTCCGCCGCCGCCGACAGCGCCATTCCCATCTGCATCATTCTCTTCGTGATTCTCGATGTCCATCTCCGAGGAATCTCCATCGCCACCTTTTTGATTTGCCGTCTGACTCGCCGGTTCTTTCAACTTCTCCTGCAAATTTACAAATAGTACAGATATTTCAGTGTAATGATATAGAATTTATAACATTGTTTTTGTTTTGTGATTAGAAAATACTCGTCAAACACACGCGCGACAGATGTATTATTTATTTTATCATTCAAAAGAAAAATTAATAGGATAAGTGATAGGATAATTAATAGGATAAGGAAAAATGTTTTGAGGAAATTGTGAAAGGATAAAGAGATAAGGAAAGAAAAGCGGTAGATAAAAGGCGTAGATAATAAATACAACAGGAAATACAAGACAGGTAAGAGAAAGAGAAAAGAAAGAAGATAGGCTAAACAAAGGACAAGGTTTAGGCATGATCTGTGATAAAAAAATGAGACGATCTTAGATAAACATAAGAGCAAAATTAAGATGTGCTATGAAATTGTAAGTTCAATATGTTTTGTTATGTTTTATGTGTATCTATGTTTATATTAAAATCAAAGTAGAGAAATATTATGCAGCATTATTTTTATTAGATAAGACGAGATTTTTAGTATTATAAAAAGCAATATGGAACAATTTTTGATCAAGAGACATGAGTGCGATAAGGTAATTTATTGTAAACCAAGTTTGCTTTTTGGTAAAAGTTGAAGTAATATGTATAATATTGGATATTTATATCCAACAGAGACATGTACTTACAGACTGCAGCAATCTTCTTTCTTCCAACAGCTTCAAATGTGTCCTGCGTGCCAGAAAATCATCGATTCTTGTCTTCTTTGCAATTTTAGGATAATGCAATCTTCCAGGAGTGATTAACGCCTTGGTGATGTCGATCTCTTCAAATTCAGTAATCGGTGTGAAAACTTTCTCAATTTTCATGCCGGCTAAAACTGCAAATTTTCTCTCATTAGTATTCTTAATGAATAAAATGCAATTCCATTTGTTTCAGTTATGCTACATTAAAAATTATACTAAAAAATATCCACAGAACTCGATACATACATGACAGATTCATTTTCGTTTCCTGTTTGACAGTCTGGGACTCTGATTTTGCCGACGAGGAAGAATCGACGCCAGTTGCCTCGCCGTCGGCCGCAGTCTCCTTCTTCACATTCTCCACTTTGCACTCCTGCTTAATCGCGTCGTTCTCCGCGTTCTCCTCCTTCACTTCCTGCTTCACGATGCCGTTCTCCGTTTTGTCCACGCAGTATTCCTTAACGAGGAACTCGTAAGTGGGCGGATCGACCGCGAGGATCTTCAGACCACCCTGATCCCTGATCTGCACCATGATTTTCTGCGGACCGGCGCGCAGGCCCAGCTTCGCCATCTCCGAGAATCGGTAGCGGCGGCTAGCCGACACCCAGAGCCAGCCACCCTGGCCGTGCACCCGGTACTCCTCGCCCTTCTGCTTCCACACCTGATGCTTCAGACCGAGGGTGTACTTGACGAAGTTGAAGAGCCGATTGCGCTCCTCCTCGTCCTCCTTCTCCTTCTTCTCCTTCTTGTCCTGCCGCTTCTTCTCCTCGCGCTCGAGCGCGGTCACCCGCTGCAGCTTCACGTGGCCGAGCTGATCGTGCCACACGCTGGCGAACACCACGGACTTGATGCACGCCTGCAGAACGATGAGAGTGCGCGCGAAGTCGCGCGGGTTCACGCAGGCGCCCACCGCCGTGGTCCACGGCTTCCGCAGCAGCGGCCAGTTCGTGTGCATGAACGGCGCCTGGATGTTGCTCTCCAGCTGCAGAATCGTCTGGCGCAGCGTGCTGACCAGCAGGGCGCGGGTGCCCGTTAGACTGCCCACCCACTTGAACTCCGACACCTGCGTGAGCGAGAACTTGTGCGACAAGTGGCGCTTCTTGTCGCGCTCCTCGTTCCGCTGCGTCTTGTTCAGCGCGACGGGATTCGTGCTGTACTGATTCACGTACGACTTGAAGTTGTTATCCATGCCGAGCTTGAACAAGTGCGTGCCGGACGCGATTTGATGCGCTTTCTGACGCGTTAGTCTGGTGCCGTCGCCCTCGGTGTCCTTCAGACTCTTGTCCAGCTTCTCCAGCTCCTCCTTCGACAGCGGCGCCGTGCTGCGCCTCTTCAGGTCGTCCATGTTGAAGGTCCGCGGTTGGAGCGAGCCGGTTTTCGATCTCGTCACGATGGTATGTTTCTTGCCTGAAACGGAAGAGCACAAATTTATTTTACGTGAAGAAAGCAATCGATTGTAGCGACGATATCTTGCAGTCTTAAGCTCGCTACTCACCGTCCTTGCCAATTTTCTCCTCTTCTTCCAACGTCTCTTCGTCAACGTCCTCGGACGATGATGTAGAAGCGCTGGTTTTCGTGTTTTTATCCATAGCAGTCAACGAGGCGTCGGCGTCGACCTCAACGGTTTCGCCGACCACCTCGGGCACCTGCATAGCCGGAGTTGACTCCTCGCTGGATATTTTAGCTTCACCCTCCGTCGTAACCGCCATACGTTCTTCGAGAGAGTCTGTGCCCTCGTGCATTCTGCGTATCATCTCCTCCGCCTCCTGCCTCTGCTTCTCCTTCTTTTCTTCCTCTTCCTTCTCCTGCTTCTCCTGTCGTTCCTTTTGTACCTTTTGAATAAGGCCTGAAAAAAATTTCAACAAAAATAAGCGATTGTCAATATTTATTTAACATTAGTACAATATATCAGATATTAAACTGCTATGTATATTTCAATAAGTTTAACATCCACGCGCGCGCGTGTCAATGCCAATTAAATGAAAAATAAGAAATCATATTAATTAATCTCTTTGACATTTAACGCTCACTTGATGGAAACAATTTTAAAGAAATAATTGAAAATAATAATTCTTACTGTTTTCTACTTCCAAGTACGATTTCTTGTTTCCCTTGAATTGATTAGTGATAGATTCCGTGAGCTCCATTTGACGGACTATTTCGTCTTTGTAATCTGACAATTCGCGATAAAGCGCTACTTCCATTTCGTTCTGATCTAAGGCAAGCATTAGTTCTTCTAGCTGCAACGGCGTACTGTAATACCACACTTCACCATCTTCGTTTTCACTAGAAAATAAAATTACAATAAATAATTAATGAAAAAAAGTCTACATTAACATGCATCTGCAATAAATTGGAAATTTCATCAAAGAAAATCCTGTAAAGAATTCTGAATAATTCTCGAAAAATATAAAATTTATTTTTCTTGAGTATAAAGTTTCCTCCTGCAGTTTTATATAATGTACAATCGCAAAGAGTTACCAACTAGAACATTGCAAAAACTTTTAGTTGTCTCTAAATTTGCAAATACATGGAAACACGACTTACACGAAAACCCTTCTCGCCAGAAACCAGTACTTTCTGCCGTGTCTGTCAAATCCCAAGTGCTCTTGTCTGCACAGCGATCCATTCTTCTCCACGTCGGGAATACAATCTACGACACCAGTTACTTTGTGAGCTTTACACGTGCTACATTGCCAATCTTCAGTAGGAACATCAACCAACGGCGGTTCCACACATTCCAAATGAAATACAGCTGGACAAGTCTCACAACACAACAAGTCTCCTAGCCGATGGCATACTCTGCAGTGATCGTCATAATGCATATTTCCTGTAAAACAAATTCTTCTTACTTCTTGTTTCACAATAACTTGTAATCACTGCAAAATTCTAAAATTAACTTGTCAAATTCCGTAAATATTGTAAATAAAAATCAATTTTTAAAAATATAGGTTATACTAAGTATCTGTTTTAAAAAATAAAACATGAAATTTAAAAATAGTTCTCAAGTGTTTGTACGAAATATAGAAATTATTTGTAAGTGTAATAGAACTCGAATTACATTACAAAATTACATCAGCTTGTTAACACAATGATACTTAATCTTATTAAACGTGTTTCGAACATGAAATAGACAGAGAATCAAGTCTCTATGCTTATTATAAATCAATAACTACTATTCTAAAAACTGTACGAGTTTTACATTACAATTACTAAAACATCAGCATGGACATAGTAAACTTTCTCCTTGCTGATTTTAGATACAATCAATGCCCAAGAGAGAAGCTACAGTAGATAAAATATATTACATTATATTAGAAAAATGGATTCTACTGTACCTTCATGCAACAAGTCCTCCCTCACAGGATTCGTAATAAGAAACTGATCTGTTAAAAATTGTAGAACCTTGATTCTATCCTCAATGGCAGTAAAAGGATATTCAGTTGTGGCTAATATCTGTAAAATATTTTGATCATAGCCCTTGTCGCTTTCTACGTAAGAACGTAACACTTCAGGCCATGTCATAGAGTCCACGAAATACAGGCTAACGTTCACCGAGTCCTTCTGGTCCAACGGACCGAAATGCGTCTGCTGCGAGTCCTCCTCTCTCAGTAGTGCCTTAATCAGCATGATGTGGATCTCCGCCAACAAGTTTGTCTGATCTTCGCACATGAGAGCGGCGCAAAAGTCCTCGAATCTGAAGGATGAGAGGCGTACCAAGCTACGAAAGTGCCTGAGCACCTCATAGACAGAAAGCGAGGGCATAACCAGCTCCTTAGGAACCAACAAGTCGTCTGAAGACTTGGGTAATACTAACGATGGCAATTCTCTGCTCTGTAGCCATAACGGTTCAGGACTTGGCGGCCGCTGCTGACCGAGCAACATTTTCCTGGGTGTGCCACTGGTGGTACTATAACTGGAAAGTGAAAAGTCGCTGTCGCTCGAAGGATCCGGTTCCTCTATACTCTCAGAGGTATCCACATCACTCTGAATGGGATCCTCCTCCACCTCGCTCTTCTCGCTCGACTCGTCGCCAAAATCTGAGCCATAATGGTACTCGGAATCGTGATAGTCCACATTGGGATTGTAGCCGCGACGCTGATAGGCGCCTCCCCCGGGTCCGGAATGACCGCCCTTGCGGGAGTGCCTGTCGCGCGCACCCCGCGATTTGTTTCGTTGATTCCTAGTGCTGCGCTTGCTGCTCTCCTCGCTCTCGACCGACGGTGACGTCGGCCGCGATGCTGTCGGCGTGCTCGGCTGCGAGCCCGGCGTCTCGGTGCCGCCGACGAGTGTCCCCGTCGCAGTTCGGTTCTGCAAATACTTAGGCTTTTTCATTAGATGATACTGAAATTTCTTTGGACGCTCCATCACCACGGACTTGGGCGGACGCCCTCGCCTCTTCGAACCTCTACCCGTCATTGTTACTCGCTCGTTACCGTGATCGTTGCGATAGTCGCTCAGGCGGTTAACAGTCTTCTTTTTGGAAACGGGCCTCGCCGTGTTCCGAGGAATCGCCGTTTGGATTTACACGCCTGATTGTCTACCTTCCGCTTATCACCTCCTCCTCTTTTTCGTTTCTTCTCTCCTCTCCTCTCTCCGCTCCGTGTCTTGCCTGCTCACTCAACACGTGGCGCGCGTGTCCGCGCGCTTGTAAACAAACACAAGTGACATCCCCGCGGCAACGAACTGGATCCATCCATGATGTCTGATGCACTCTGATCTTTGCGCCATTTCTCACGGCACACCGTCGTTCCGCGCGGTCACGTGACCAAAAACAATCGCCGCGGCGCGACGCAAATCTCGGTCGTATACACGCTGCCGCGCTCACTGCTCGTCAGCACGCCCGTGCACAGTTTCTCGTTCGCCGCACCGCGTACCGCGAAAAAAATCCTCGCCAAATTCGATAGCGAGATCGGCGACGGCGAATGACGCGAACTACGCCAGAGGGGGGTCACTAGCTGCGCGACGAACGGAGTCGTCGTCGTTGAATGGCGGAGCTGCCCGAGAGAGCGGCTCCGCGATTGGCTCATCGGTGATCCGCCATGTCGGCCGCTCGTCGACCAGCTACTCTACCGAAAATGGCCAAATCGTCGTCGCGCCGCGTCCTTTTCACACTCGACGACTCGATGATCACTCAAAACACAGCCGATCTCGCTTTTAATGCGCGTTACAGGACGCACGCGATCGATTTCCCCCGATTATCCAATTCAACCGAGATGCCTGCGAACGCCAATCACTTTCGCCGTAACTTCCCGTCGTATCTATTATACAGGCATATGCGATAGGTGGCGACATGCACGCGTCGCGTTTTCGAAAAAAACTCAATTCTAACCAAAATTTCGAAGCAACGAGCACAGCGGTATCTGACGAAAAAAAAAGTTGATGGCAGATTCGTCGGGAATTGCGAGCATTTGCGTCGAACGAGTAGGCGAGACACCTCCGTCTCTCGGTTCCTTTTGTGTCTTTGTACGCAACGTACACCCGGCTGTTACCTGTAAACCACACACAAGAATCTAACCTTAGTACACCAAGTCACGTCAGAGGACACTCGCTAACGCAATCCGACCGTGTCGCCATTTTCTGCACATTCTCGATCGATAAGATTTCACGACGCAAGTAAAATCACATTTTCGAGCGTGATACATTTTCATTTTGATAAAAGTTGCGCAGATTTTGGAATTTTTTCTCCCGCTACAACAGCTCGTGTAAATTTTAAGAAAATAAAATTTACAACTGCCGCGCCATCTTTCGTCATTTTTTTTATACTTCCACATATATAAAAACGAGCTTTTTTTCAATTCGATGGATAGAAACACAAGTATAGAGAAATTAGACAATTCTTATACTCGTTTGAATAAAAAGTTCATTGTCCTAAATCTTTAAAAAAAATTATACTAATAAATTTATGACGAAATTATTCTTACCGGCAAAGAATCGTGCGATTTTCTACATGTTTGACGGCGCCGTAGCGGCATCTAACGGCAGACAGCTCAATTACAACGCGATGAAAATCATAGTCGGCCATGATACAATGTGAAAAAAAAACATGGTCACCGTCAGGGACGAGACGCGAGAGTGCGCGAGTGCGAGCGAAGAGAGCGAGTGAGATCGCGTGTAAAACACAAATTTTTCAATTTTCTAAGTGCGACCGAGAAGCGTTCGCCAGGAAGCAAGCGGCCCAGCGACGAAGATGTACACGCTACGACCGATAAATGTACTGCCACCATGTCCGCCTTCGAAAGTCATGTACCAATTGCCGAATATTCTGACGGATAAGCATGATGGCAGTCGCATTGAGACGGACATCGACACCAAGATGCCCGACGACGTTGTCACAGAGCAGGTTATCCGCCTTCTGCAGGTTTCCGTTTCGTTTCCGTGCGCGGTGCCGCGACGTAAATGGCAATACATCGTTCGCTCGCGCGCGCTCGTTCACGCATGGGGCGCAGAAAACCGCGCGAAAAGTCGCGCCCGGCGGCCGCGACCACGTTTGTGCGTACGAACGAGACATGATGACTCCTCCCGAAAATTTCCGCGAGCACTGATCCGCGATCGATCAAGAGCATAGCGGAGGAGCGACGTGTCGTGGTTCCTCTCTCTCTCCCTCTTGGGGCTTGATCGATGTGCTCCTCCTGCTCCCCTCTTAGCATTGTTTTTTTTCGAGAGATTCGAACACGAAGTTCGGCGGACGAGCGTTGAAAATTGTGACTCGTGGGAAAAAGTGTACGTCGATTAAAATTGCGACATGAACGCGCCGTCGAGAGCGAGCGGTATATCATGGAGGGAGAAGAGTGCCGGACAAGAGAAAGACGCACGATTTCGATATTGTCATGGGCTATCTAAAACACGGAAGTCAGATAAAATCTCGAGTTGCCTTTAGAAATGGGGGTTAATTCTCTGATGTAATCGTTAACCTTATTATGATATCAAATTTGACCGAACGCACTAATCAACATGAAATGTTGTTATATGTAGTTTGCCAAGTGCTCACTATAAAAGTCATAATATTTACTTCAATTTGTACTGATTTATATATTTTATATCTAGTGCTTAAAGACATCCCCACTGTGATACATATGTAGCAGAGCGTTAGTACATTTGATGTTAAAGTCTTGTTTCTGCATTATTTGTGTATTAATATATGTAACATACTTATACATGTATTGTCCTGTGTCTGCGTTGACACTGTTTTCTTTGCGTTACGTAAAAAAAAATTGTGAAATGAATTTATAAAATTGGATTTACTTTTGATATCTTAACATTTTTATTTTCTCATTATAATGCAATATCTAGATTCTTTAATAGTTTACATTAATTAGTATTAAATGTAAAACAGTTGATTCCGGTTAATTGGACTATTGATTAGTTAGGGCAGTCATTTTTTGGGACAAATCCTAATAGATAAATGATAAGAGTTATTTGGGACATCTGCCAAAACCTGGAAAACACTTCACGCAAGGCATTTGGCATTTTCGTCACCTAGAAAAATCATAACATTTAACGATGGATAACATTAATCTCACATTTGCTGTTATTTCAAATAGAGATGGTAGCAAATCGTTCTTGCGATAGTAATGAAAATAGAATGAAAATAGTTCACATAATTCTTTCATTTGTCAAATGTTTAAACGGGGAATTGAAAACAATTGAATTTATACTTGATCTTTGTGTGGAATTTAAATTGTAGCACATTTCTCATTAGCACTATTTTGCTGTAACACAATATAAGAAATTTTAATTTTTCTTTGTATCTATGTGCATGTTGAATTTAATTTATACAGTAAAAATTAGATTGTAAATAACCCAATATAAAAAGTATTTCATGATGATACGATACTTAACATAATATCTGTTTGTTTTAGAAGCCTTTACGAGACTACAGTGCATTGGAGGCGAGACAGGAGAAAGTTCTTGATCAACTGGCGAAACTCAAGAACCATGTTCAAACACTGTGCCATTTTTTGAAACAATCTGATCGATTAGACGGTACAAAAATCGGTGCGGCACTTCCGGTGAGACAATTTCCACTAGGAAGCATTTTTAGTTGAGAAGCCAGTTACTGTATTGTATATACATATATAAAAATTGCATTTTCAAACTACTTCTCTTCTGTATTTTCATGTAGGAATCAACGAGACAACTCCAATTTGACTTAATAGTGTACGCAAACCCACGGAGACCACCGTTCTCAATCCTTGCCTTGCAGAAGCGATGGGAGAACACTGTCTTTAAACTGCAATCGTTTGTGCATTCTACTGTTGAAGGACCAGTACCAGTTTTCTTGCCTAACAATTCTGACCTAGTCGCCAATAATATTGTAAACTTAAAGTTGATATGGAAAAAAGGTGAGACAAACCTAATTTCTCTTGATCTTTAGAAAATATCTTTCAAAATCCATTCATCATGAGACGTAGATGTATTTATATTTCAGAAAAAACAATTTTTTCTTGTAATTAAATCTTATCAAAAATGTCAGTGAAGTTTTCCTTAATGATTTATTGGTATATTTATTTGAGTCAACTTTCTTTTTCAGTTGATCAGTTGGAATTTGTCAAAGATCTGTCTAGCCATCCTATAAGTGGCGAGGTCAATCTTCTTAGATACTTGAGCAGGAAGATAACAGGAAGAAAGTTTTATGATCAAAACGTTGGATTGCACGATAACCACATACTCGACTTATGTTATCGCTTGTCTGAGACCGACAAATTTATTGGTTCAATAATAAGTGAATTGAATGAGCTAGAAAATTTAGTGTGCGATTCTGAAGTGCTAAAGGGATGTATGCCTCATATTGCGGACATCGCCGTTTGGACTACCGTTAAGCATCTCTTTCCAAGTAGTCCCCTAAATAAACTACCGAAATCAATTAGAGAAGTGTACAAAGTTTGTGAAGAAATGTTTATAGATAACGATTTGGTACACACAAATAATTAATTATTAATGTTTTTTTTTTCCTTTTTGATAAAAACTGATTATTAATGCATTGAATGCCACGCTAATTTTGTACGTCTTACCCTCAATTTTTAACTGCCGGCTAAACTAGTGATTCTCACGGCATTCAACGTGTTAATAATATAAGTACATTATTTCATAAATAAATAATTATAAATGGATTATTTCATAAAAGCGATGTTTTTATTTGTATCCCGCACGCTCACTCGACACAGGCGTTTTGCACTGCGTTAGCGACACGTGTAATTAATGAAAACATTTAATAATTTCCACATTTCCGAACAGAATTTCAAATTATTAATCAGATAAGTGGTTCAGTGAATCAATTCGTTATTACTGAGAAACTCTCAAAACGGTATAACTTTTATTTCAAGATTAACAGGTCTTTTATATCTTATGCTATTAGACGTTACAGCTGATTTTTAAATGTAATGGAAATGTATAAATAAGTTTGAATTTGCACTAAAAGTTCGCTGGCAGTGTTCGCAAAAATATTCAAGTATCCCTGAAGATGCTTCATGGAGAAAGACTCGTCGCGTCGGGCGAGAGGTTCGTAAAACTTTTGTTTAAAAAAAAAGTGATAAAATTATTATCTAAATGCTTACAGCGAGTCTTGCGTCTATAAAATGAATGATACTATCAAGTATGAAACAATAATGATCCTACTTGTATTTATTTAGGCTTCTCTCTTTTTTCGTCACTTACGCAAATTTCATTATTCGCATAGTTACAATAAATGCTGCACTATGCAATTTATCGTAATTCGATATCCGGCTTTGGACGTACGTTGTGATAAAATGAGAATGTATGAGAAGAATACGAATACTGTGCCTCACAATCAGCAATTGCTATTTATCATACATATGCACACATACGTACACATATGTATACATGTATGTACAGTAGAAGCTCCATATTCGCCATAGTATCTGCAACCATCTCATTCACGAGTTTAAGAAAAGTGTCATAGCAATAAGCATAGAAGTGATTTTTTTTTAACGCTTTCACTTTGAGTAGCCCAGTGAGTTGGCTGTGATTCATTTTTAAAACGACGACGGAAAAGATGCGTCTCGCAACAGTTTACGGCACAAGTGTCGCGAGTATGGAACTTTTACTATATATCACAAGACGCGAATATATAATTAGGTATAGGTTGCTAAATAACAGCATTATACAAAATCTATATTCTTACGGCAAAATGTACAATTATTTACACGCGCCTGATGTAGTGCAAATGTACATCAGCGTCAGATTAGATTTATACAAGACGTTTTGGAATTCGCGATTTCCAATTCACGTTCTCAGTGGGTCGATAAATTGATATGACAGGCCCACAGGTCGGAACGTCAAGCGCGAATCTCATTTCTCCCGGAAACCTCCGCGATATTGCAAACGTGCGATAAATCGTACATATTCGTGAGAAGTATCTTTCGAACGTTATATCAGGAAGATGGATATAATGTAAGAGTCCTTATGACTGAATTATTCATGTAACTACGCACTTGCGAAAAGCAGAATGGAATTCTGAAATTGTTGGAAAGTTTTGATATATTCTATGTTGTTAAAATTTGTTTATGCCCATATAATCTAGATGGACCTGGACAGATTTATGCTAAGAAAATTTCAGATTCGTGCTCTTCTGCAAGTACGAGATTGACGCAATGTACGTACGAGATCCGTATAATACCTACATATGGTCCTTAATCTAATCAGAGAAAGTACAAAAGTATCTATTAAATGCAAAGTGTCTTATCGAAAATTATAAATAATATATATATATATATGTATATCAATATATCACAATACGAAGATGCCTCAAGCTTTCTATAGTTTACTATAAGTTTGCTATAAGTCTATGCCGCCAGCACGTGAAACGCACACGTGCTTTGGACGTAAGTCTTTCGCTCTATATATGTATATAAAAAGACTTCGCTTGAAGCGAGATCGTCGAGACGGTTGAATTTTGATTTCGATAAAATAAGCGAGACGCTCCTCGCGCCTCGGAATAGTCTTGAGAATTTCCTTAATAATTATACAAAAGACGAAAAACCGGGCAACGGCGCTCTCGATCTGGCCATATTGTTCATAATGATCTGACCGCCGTTTAAGCTAACGACCGCGCTGCCTTCCGGCTCGGAATCCGTGTACGACGAATAATTCCGGACGGGCTTCTGACGTTTCCACGACTGCCGCAGCGAGTCGTTCACGTTCGCGTAGTGATTCACGAAGGAATGTGGGTCGGACTGCACACTCTCATTCTCGCTCTCGGAACCCTGCAAGATGAAAGAAAAATCATAACAACAAACTTGAATAATAACGCATCGCTTTGTATTCTGCAAATAATCACCTGGGAATCGGTGGAACTGATCTCGGAAGGCTTCTCCGTGACGCTGCTGTCGTCAGGATTCTCGTCGTATCCCTTCAGACTCTCCTCGTCGCTGTGATAGGCAACTGACGCAGGAGACGGCCTGGGCGGCGATTTGCCGAGCATCGCGGGCGGCGGAGGATGCATGGCTTTCCGGGACAGTGTGCTTCTCTTGCCCAAAGTGCCGCTCGCCGCGTTGAGAGTGCCGCCTGCGCCCTGACGCGACCTGTACAGCTCCAAGTCCGATTCCTGTCGATCGTCCGCGTCCATCGCCATCGACTCCTCCAGAGTTTTCTGCGCCTCTTCTGCAATCATTAATGCGATTCGTGCAATTTTATACCGTACGTTGTATATAGCGAATAATTTTTATCAACTTACGTTTGTACTTGTAGCTTTTACTCTTCACGCACAGCACTGCTATAATCATGATGATAATTACAATTGATGTAGCGGCTAAAGTTACCATAAACCAGGTCTGTCTGTAAAATGGCCTAAGTTGCAGGTATGCGTATTCTATGTGCAGTTTTGACGGCGTCATAACCTGGAAAAATAATAGCTTGGTCGTAAAACAGTTTTCAAATAAATAAATATATTCATACAATAAATAAATCTAATAAATGTATGTAAATCACACATAATTTTTGATAGTATAATCAATTGCATTATAATTGAAAATAATTTTCCCTTAATTTGAATTACCGTTTCGCTGGAATACGCTGGATAACTGATTCCGTAGCGATTGTACGATATCACCCTAAATAGGTACGACGTGGATGGCAGTAAATTTTGATAAGACACAGCATACTCCGTCAGAGGTCCGTTGTTACTACGAACTATCGTTTGCCAGCGCGAATCGTCTACAATTACATGTAAAAACAGCGTTATGATCTTTAAATCAAATATAACATGCATATCATAAAATCTCGTAGGACATATCACTTGGATATTAATTTTTAGTGACATTCTTTGACCAATTTCAAGTCGATTTTTGCTCGGCGGAAACGTCAAGTTTCAATATATTTACAAAAATAAACATAAATCAAACTTCTGATATAACATTTAAATTTATTTTAATCTGTTGAAACAAGTATTTTAACTAACTAAAGAAAATAATTATTTTCTCTCGTAAAACTTGATTGTAATTTAATTAAATAAATGCCTCGATATTTTCTATTGACTTCAACTTGACCAAAAAATATATATAGCAAAAAAAGGAAACAATACAGTAAAATTGAAACATTCTATATGCCAAATAGGAACAGGATTTCGTTATTATTCTAGCAAAAAACTTATTTAACACTTTGAGTGCCGGCTGTTATGCAAAATTTCATGGAATTGTATTTTACTGTTGTGTGAGAAACGCACATGCGCAAGTCACTGCGACACGCAAAGTGTTAAAAACGAGATTAATTGCACGACTAAATAATGAAAACTGCGGGGCTAACAATAACGACTAAATCATCACGCTAATGATCGATTATCGTCTCTTTGTCAAAACGGTATATTCGGCGTAGACAGTACATGTTACAGCGTTATGTACAAAGTTAATGTTCGATAAAAATTCTGCTGGAACGTCTAAAGTATGGCGACGTCATGCTATGACATTATCATGCAAAATTGTTAATGCAAATACCAAACAATCACGACACGTGTACATGTATCAGATAATGTACAACGAATCAAAAGCGATATCGTTACGCTAATAAGGGTTTCACACTATCGAAAACCATCTAACGCAACGACTGACGCTCAGCATAGTTACGTGTATTGACACTTACAATGCTGCCATTCTTCCATCGCTATACAGTTATAAAAAAGACGGTATTAGTGTTAGCAAAAGTCTGACGATGTATTCGACACAAATGTGCGAGAAATTTATGTAATGAATTGCGCAAAATGTATTTTATGAATTATCTTGTGACTAAATATATATATTCTGTTTATTGAGATTGCAGCAGCGATCGAAATTCTGCTCAAATGATTGCAAAAATTTATTCCATAAGCCATGCGGTGAAGGTTAAAAAAAAAGTTAGTTCTCATGATTTCTGGCGCTGCAATTTCAGTAAAATGATTTTGTGTAAAATGGTACGATAATTTTGAATAGATTCCACAAACATAAATGTCTTTCGATCTCTGTTAACAGATAGACTTGTATTCACCTTTGCGATGGCTCTCGATGTAATAGCCGAGTATGGGACCCTTGCCGGAGGCTCCATTGATCCATTCTAATGCCATACTGGAGTCGGTCTTGGTCACTGCGAGATTGCTGGGTGCGATCGGCGAACCGTCCTGCGGGCCGGTCGTAACGTTGCCGGATACCGGCGGCCCGAAGTCGATCGTCTGCGCGCGAATCATGAAGGTGTACGTCACCTCTTCCTCCAACGGCTGGATGAGGAGACTCGTTTCCGTTACCTTCTGTTTGACTTGTTTACTGAAACCTTAAACAGAACGTCGAACGGGTGAATAAAAGAATAGATATGCAGATTGCAAAGTGACATTGCATCTCATAATATTCTTCGGTCCGTTTAAAAGGAATTATTCGGACTTTAATTAACACGCAGAGTATTCGTGAAAAAGATCATCAAACGTTAAATATTGCTATCGGAGTCTTCGTTCGCCTTACGTTCGTTTTGCTCCGCCGTCTCGTAAGTGACGATGTAACCGATTATCTCGCCGTTGCGTAACTTCGGCGGCTCCCAAGAAACCCGCAGGCTGGTCATAGTAATTTCAGTGAACTGCAAATTATACGGCGGTCCTGGTATATCCTGTAATTAGAAATGTAAACTATAATAATTGCTGAAGAAAATTTCGAAGCTATGCACACTTTAGCCGTGGCTGCTGTTATTGCTGTAAAGAATAGTTTAAATATGTTTCGAAAAATACTTGCTTTAAAACAACATACGTTATTTATGAAATAATCCTCACCTGTTTCGTTCTCACGGTAATTGGCGGAGATCGCGGACCATCTCCAGCTGGATTAAACGCCAAAACTTGTATACGATATTCCGTGTACTTGTCAAGGAAGACTAAACTGTGTGCCAAATAAGACGCTGGAACAACTTCTATCTCTTCTTCCAGTTTCTTTTCCACAGCTTGAGGGGAATCGGTCACCAAGTAAAAAATCTGCAATAAGAACCGACAAAAGTATCAATATAATTGAATTTAATTATATAGAACTTACAAAATATTAGAAATAAAGAATAAAAATATCATTGACAAAATCCTTAAAGCGGACAATAAGACAAAAAAAAAAAAGAATTTTGAGTTTACAATTACAAATAAAAATAGATCGATTGCAACAATTATATTGACGTTAACGTAATTGAATAAAGTAATTACCTTATATCCTAGCAAGTCACCATTTTGCATGTTAACTTGCGGCGGTTTCCAACGCAATTGGACCTCAGTGGAAGAGATGGGCTCAGCCTTTAAGTGCTGCGGCTCTCCCGTAGGAACTGCCTCACCTACATACACGGTGACCGGCGGACTCGGCGGGCCCTCGCCTTCTGAGTTAAACGGTAGAACTACGATTTCGTAATATCGATCCTCCGTCAAGTCGCTCAAAACCATTTTGGTTTCCTGCAATGAAAACGCGTTGGATTACTCATCGCGCACTTCATTTTATTACGTCAAGTTATTTATATGCATTAGAAATATTTAATATCTTTATGTCTTAATTGATTATAATTTAAGAATCACTCTGTATATGTGTTTTAAAAATGTGCGAAGCACACCTTAATTCCTAAAATGTCTTCTTTCGGCGTTGCTTCAAGCGGTATCGGGAAGTCCGACACGGGCTGATAAACGATACGATAACCACCTGTTTCGTAGTCGCCGCTCCAATGCACCTCGTTGATCATGTTCCAATGAACCTCGACGCTAGATGTCGTGATGGGTACAACTTTCAAACCGGTGACACCCTTCGACGGCGCTACAATCAAATATGCCAATGTTGCCGAATCATTAAGCAAAAATCAGAATGTATATTTGAAAAGAAAATACATCGAAGAACATTTCGGTCTCATTTTCCACAAAAAATCTTTAAAACACTCCACGAAATTCTTCCGTTTACTTATAGTTTGCAGCTCGACACGCACCTGCGGGCAGAGTTTGCACTTGCGCGGACTCCGCGCTCCATTCCGAAGGGCCTATGTCATTGGTGGCCTGAATGCGAAACTGATAAAACGTGTAGGGTTTCAAGTTGTCGGCCGTGTAGGACGTCAGAATGGGCTCCACTCTTTCGGGAATGATTTGGAAGGGTCCGGAATTCTCCGACTGTTGCACCGTGTAATATCTGTCGACGACAAGAGCGAGATTAATATACAATTTAGATTGAAATCCATTTATTTGGAGAAAAGGCGTTTGTACCTCAATGGCGCGAAGCCGTCTCTGCCCGGCGTCCAGCTGAACGTTATCTGGCGACTTTGAATCTGCGACTTGCTCACTTGTGGCATCGATGGCGCTTGCGGACGTTCTCTATTGTTCGTGGTGAACACCAGCGCGTAAGCTGTCTTGCCCCAGCCCAGTCTCGTTTGCGCCGTCACAGAAAACATGTAATATCTCTCAGACTCGAGTCCGGTGGCTCTGCAAGCAATATTCGACTCTCGTTTACTCGTTTCATACACGTATTGAATCCCAAAGTATTTTACACACTAAATTTAGACAAAAGTTCAGTTTTAGAAAAAGAAGAAAATATTTGTTCAAAATTCCGGAACTCCCTCTTTCTCTCAAATTTAATTTTCTTTTTTTCCAATATAGTGATGTTATTTTTCTGACGAAATTAATGTGTGAAGTTTTTTTAGCATGAAATTATATACAAATATGAGTGTAAACCAACTGGAAAACACTTTTTGTACCTGAATGTTCTGTCCGATGCTGGGAATTCTTTCGAAAATTGGCGATCATGGCTGCTGTTCAAGTGAAACACGACCTTGTACGCGAGAATTTCTCCGTTAGGATCCTCCGGAGTGTCCCAGATAATGCGCGCTGTCGTGAGGCTGACATCGGGAAAGGATACGTTAGACGGCGGACCAGGAGCTGCATCAGAAAACAGAGGATTATATAAAAATTTCACTTTGTTCAGCTACAGAATTTCTATTTTTTTCACTAAAAACATTTAAAATTGTTTCAACATGCATTATGTCAAAACACAAAGTCGCGTTTACGGTCATCGCGATTACTTCTAATAGTAGAGATCTATCTTACCGTCTTCGAAAGTTTGGACTCTAACAGGTGGGACACTCAGCGCCCCGTCACCGAGTCTCGTGTAAGCCAAGACCTGCACGTGATATTGAACGAATTTGCGAAGTTCCGTCAGTGTGGTTGTAAAAGTAGTATTGCTGGGAATATTTTTATATTGGAAGGGCGATCTGGAATTTGCGCCATAATAGACTTTGAAACCCTCGATCTGTCCGTTCTGATGTTCCACAGGCACGTCGCCCCATCGAACCAGGATGGTCGTGGAGGACGTCGCGTTTGCCTCCACATTGATTGGTCCTTGAGAAGGAACTGAAAAATATGGTATGATATTAGTTATCGTAAACCTTAGAAGCGCGATTGCAAAGAATTGTAGAGAATTGATCTGACATCTTTTTCACAAATATTTGAAACGATATTAATGTCAATATCTAACCTTTGAACTTGGAAAAACTGGTTGTTAAAAAGTGATACATAGGAGAAACAATTTTATTTTTAACTTAACATTATTATGAAATGCTATTCTCTTATGCCTCGTCTACATGCTGTCTTTAAGAAACTCTCTTTAGTACGTTGAAGTAAACTGCACTTGAAACGACTATTCAGCTACACGCTGTATTTAAAGATCGATGGTTTGTTTCGTTTCGCGCAATACATAACCTCTAAAAATATTTTTTTTAGAATTTGAGCCTGAAAAATTAATTGTTTCCTAATTCCTAATGAACTACCAATGGATACAAATATATAATATGGCGCTACAATTATATAATAAGTGGTTAAAAGATAAAAATAAATCGATATAAATCGATATTTTCTAATATATGATATTGAACTGGGATTCCTAACATCTTGAAGATAGTTTCACTTAAAGATAGTTTGACACAGCTACACGCGCAATTTAACATCAGATCTCTTCAACACACTATCTTAAAGACAACGTGTAGACGGGACATTATTCAGTTATGTACGAGAGATTCACCTGATTCGCGCGTTCGTTCAACGGCCTTCGGGCTCGCCGTCGAAGAACCGACGTCGTTGTACGCTTGCATCACTATCTCGTAATCCGCATACTCCTCCATATTCTCCAGGATGTACGAGTTTGCGGTGGGATCCTCGATGGTGATGCTCTTCGAGACGTTTGATCGCACTTCCGTGTACGTGACATTGTATCCGCGTGGATTTCCGTACCATTCTATCTGCTGCAACGGCTGTACAAAAAACGATGCAATTCTTACTACTCGTATCGCAAGATCTACGATATTCTCAGTGGCGACAATCGATATGAACACTGTATTTATGATCGATACTCACGATCCATCTAACGCGCAGCTCGGTGGCGTTCATCGCGCGAACGGTGACGTTTTTCGGAGGGTGAGAGGGCGGCGCCTGGATCGTTTGAAATTCCTTGGTCGGCTCGGAGGGCTGCGAGGCACCGACGACGTTGTTCGCGATCAAACGAAGCTTGTACTGCATGAAGGGGATCAGGTCGTCGACACTGACGGTACTGGCATCCGGATCGGACACCTCGTAAATAATGTACCACGTCGAATTTCGCGGAGTTTGCGCCTAGAAAATGGAAAAAAATACAAATAATTTATCCATCCTCGGTTCTTTTTCTCGTTATTTATTAATCGTGTCACTCTATCATTTTCAAATGTCGACTCTAAATCGACCAACCTGCACTGTCCACTTCGTGATGGACGAGTTACCGTCAAAGCCTGGTGTGAACTGCAGCACAACGGAGAACGCATCTATGTTGGACAAGGCGAGTTTCGTGGGCGGTTCCGGCAGCACTGGTTCTACGCCCGATTGTATGGTCGCTGTCTTCGGTTTGCTAGATCCAACCGACGTCCAAGCGGTGACGTCAAACTTGTAGTGGGTCAGTGCCTAAAAAAGATGAATAAAAATTAAATTTCCATTTCAATATAACTTTTAGCTTCTCGCTCGGAATCGATGATCACCTGCAAATGCTCCACTTTGGTCGACAACACTTTGGCCGTGAAGTTTTCGACGCGCAAAGACTCCGGCATATCTTTGATCTTGTACTTCAGCTGGTAATGCGTTAATATTCCGTTGATCTCTTTCGGAGGATGCCACTTAATTGTCAACGCGCGGTCGCTGATGTCTTCAAATTGCAGATTTTCCACTTCATCCGGCACTGTAAACGTGAATATGTAGAAATGAATAACTCTTCCTTTTGTAACTGCGCGATTTTTAAATATCAAACTATTGTACGGCTGTCATTAGTCGACGTACCGTCCTCGCGAGTGCGAACCTCGACGAACGAGCTTCTTTCACCGTCGCCCGGATCAGTGAAGCAGAGCACTGTGATATTGTACGGGGTGTACTTTCTTAAACCCGTCATAATGGCGACCTGCTCGGCGAGCGGATCGAATAAATTCGGCGGCACAGTCATGGATTTGTACTCGATCGCTTCTGTAGAATTGTCGTCGATCCAAGCTTGCAACTTGTATCCCTGATTTATCCCATTGATCTTTTGAGGATTCGGCGGCTTCCACCATACTTTCACCGCCGTCGAATTAACCGCTTCCGCTCTCACATTCGTGGGCGGCGCTTCCGGAACTGTAAACCAATTATTTCCAATTAACTTGCAACGTTGAAAAAACAGTAGTGCTTTAGAACCTCGATGCTCCAATTAATTTATGGTATTTTAATATTACTAGTCTCGAATCACTCAACATGTCAATTAAAATATTTCAAACTTTAACGCTCTGATTGAATTAAACAACTGAAAATTATCATTCCTCTAATTAGCTACAATGCTGCGGTATTCGTTAATCACCTCCTTCCTTAGTTTTTATCTTCAATGGCGGATCGGTGAACACGCCCACGCCCTTGTCGTTGTAAGCTGCAATCTGCACTTCATAATCCTTCCACGTGATCAAGTCGGTGATGAGATAATTTCTTTGTGCCTCGTTGGTGATATTCTGCGTCGTCCACGGGCTACCGTAGTATCCGTGCAGTTTGTACCTCAAAACGTATCCCAAGATATGGCCGTTTCGGAATTCTTCCGGCGGAGGCTGCCACTGCGTTATTATTTCTGACGATGAACGCGCCGAGCCGATGAAGCCACCCGGAGGGCCACTGGGTCCTGTAATGTAATATTAATATCGTTGGTTCTCTTTTCACTAATTATATTAATCTTAAAAATCATTATTTTATCACTAATGTTTATAATTAATAATAATTACCATCTCATATCCAATTTAAAATATTACCATTCCTATTAAAAATAACTTTAAATAAAATTCCACTAAAAAAAATATAAATTTTTATATATCTTTAATCTCCAAAATTAATATTTTATTAAACTATTTTCTGATTTTTTTTTAAATTTATGATAAAAACTAATATTTTTCCACTTTTTCTAACGGTTATAATCATTTTAATACTTATATTTATAGCCAATAATATTTATTTACATCCAATTATAAATATAATTATTATTATTATATATAGAATCTTAATAACCTTAATATCGTACTTACGTTCTTGGGGTAGAACGACGATGTTGCTGGGCGCTGATGACGGACCTTTGCCGACGCTGTTTTCCGCTCTGACGCGAAACTGATAAGCTGCCGCGGCTTTCAAATTATTCAGCAATACCCATCGGCTCGCCACGGACACGTTGTCGAGTTCGGTGACCCAGTTTAGTGGATCAGGTATCGGTCCTTTGCATAACATAAAAATATTCATTTTAAACAAACTGTGTTAAATACAAAAATAAATAAGCTAATACTTTAGACTTATATTATCACAGATTTGTTTAATTTAGAGATATTTTAGTTTCTATGAAATATGAAGATGCAAAAATATAACAATAATGTATAATTTTCTGTTTATTAATTGATAACAATTAATAATTCTTGCCACACTTTGGAGAGATAATGCGTATCTAATACTCGGATCATGTTTTATATTTAGATTACCTAAATCAGACACTTCTAGTCTCTCAATTATGAATTTCTTCGTGGGACTGTTTCCGTCGAAGCCGGGCACCCACGTGACGTTGATCGTACGCGGTGAGATCCGCTCGACTCGAGTGGCCATGACGTTAATCGGCGCGAACGGCAACTCAATCACGCTTAAACGAGCCGATCGCGTCTCATTGCCACCCGGCGACACCACGGAACACGTGTATTCGCCTACGTCAGAAGCTCGAACGGCGACGATTTCGAGAGTACCGTCCGACCGCATCTTCACTCTTTGACTCGCTTGTGTGTTTATCACTCTGCAATAACAAACATGCCGCTTTGAAATTCTCAGTCGTTAAAAGAATTAGTGATCTCTTTTCCAATCAGCGAGAATAATACATTTTTTGATCTACATTTATATAAATAATTCAAAATAAATGGCATAAAAAACTTGAAAAAATTGATTCGATTTTTGGAAAAGTGTGTGAAATAATTAATAAAAAATCCAAACCACGCAAGTAATAATAATATTAATATGGAATTATTTTCCTTTGTACGTACTGTGTGTTGTGAAACCACGCCATATCGTACACAACGCTGGGATCGTTTGAGATCTTGCACTGCAACTCGGCAGTGTGTCCGAGGAGCACGCACGTATCAACAGGTGGTTGGATTATTTGCGTCCGAACTGTAACAGACGAAGAGACGCTGCATACGCACAGAATAGAACAGCGCGATGCGCTTGCTGATAGCTGAAATTTCTAAATTAACTAAATTTTGACAAGTTAATTTATATTTTAGAAACATTTTGCAAATTTTATTCAAAGAACCTTTGTCATTAATGCACTGGTTCAAATTTAATAATTACCCATAACGGTCAAGAATGCCGATCCGTTGACGGAGCCGGCCTCGTTCGCACGGATACAAGTATATTTTCCCGCGTCGCCCGGCTTCACCGCCGCGATCAGAAGATCGCCGTTATCCAAGACTTGCACTCTCCCGGCGATTTCCACAGGTATCGTATCTGGCGCAATGAAGTGTAAATATTTATAAACGAAATCAGGCACGTCTTGCAACAATTTCGAATCGCGATCAATTACCATTGTAATACCAGGTGGTGTTTGGCTTGGGCGCTGCTATGGCCTTGCAGTTGAGAGTCGCGTCTTTGCCATCCAGCACCGTTAAATTCTGAGGACCGGTTTCCATTACGGGCGCAGACGCTGGAAATGACAGAAGCCACGGCGTTATTAATATGGAATACAATGGAGGCTTCTTTCACAACGTGCAGATAAAAAAAGGGTGTTCAATCAATGCAACGTGTACTATAAAACCCATCTGCAATTCTCATCCTTCTATTTCACTCAAAAAAATATTTCGCTGATGTAGTTAGATTTCTAGATATCGCAACAAGAATGTATCGCTATTTTTCGTATCTGTGAAAACAGTGTTTGTCACATATAGAATTTATAGCAGTAATGTGTTCTAGCAATAGCTTCTGAAAAATTTAGGTACCATTGCTAAATGTTATTCATTGCGTGATCTAACACGTGATTGGTCTTATATAGATAGGCGCTTTAGAGAAACTTTCTTTTTAAAGTTCACAAACAATACAGATATATATTCTGTTTCTGTCATCTAAACTGATTAAGTAATTACATATGCAATATCACAACAGTTGCTAATCATTTATCTGTTTTAGTTAATTTTTTACACCTAGAAAATTTTAGCTATTATTGCAAGATCATTTTTTTGAGTGTTCTCTATGCTGTTTTCAAGAAACAAGCTTGTTCTTTTAAGCAAAACACATATTCAGTAGCAAAACTACGCAAACTAATGGCCGCTTCACGATAAACGCCGCATTGCAAAATGATAACTGAATGCTACGAATGCGATGTTTATCTTGAGATAAATTATAAAAATCATAATTTCCAAGTTGGTTTTAATAGCAAATGTATCTCTAATCTATGGAAAAAAAACAAGGACGTGCGTGGCAGTGTTACTTGCAATGTCGAAGATGCGTGCTAAAAATTATGATTTAAAAAAACAAAAATGCACTAAAATACAAGAGTCGTTTTACTCGACCTTTTTCAAAAATAATAGATCGTAATGTACACGTCAATAAATTTAGCGAAACACTAAACTAATAAAGATCAACAAAAATGAATTAATAAAGAAACAAAGGGCTATTCAATGTCTTTCGCTAAAATTTCTATAAACTACTATCGGGACATTTTCTAAAACAACATGGTGCGGTCTAGTCCTTTCGGAGCTATGCAAAAACTCGTCACTGAAGGAAGCAAAAAATCGTGAAGTGAAATTTGTACAGTCTGCAAGCATGTGCCAAATATGATGATGGAAAAAGAGTGAGGAAATCTTCGCAGGAGTATTCTTACTGTCTGGATATTGAGAGAACTTAAAATGGCGGCCGGATTCGCGAACACTGACTACATTGTAGCCAGCAGCCGCCCAGCGAGCAACTCTGTTTCTGAATCCGCTCCCTAATCCTTTTTCTGTACCGCACACAAAAAACACGTCATTTGCATTAATTCTCCTTGCGACATTACTGCGATGCAAAGTATTCGCAAAGAAACGCGATCTAAAGCTCTCTTTGGTTCGTCTATTTCATTATTTCTCCAGATATTTCTGTACAACATATGTACCTGTGTACAGTTGAACAGTTTTGTTATTAATACCATAATTTTTACGTTAACAATATTATTTTTACAAAAGCCTGTCGATTTACTGAAAAAAAAGACCGATTTCTTGACGGTTTTGACTTGCACAAAATTATCAAATTCTTTTATACCAAAACTGGAAAACATTCTGCGAACACTCTGTACGGAGTGGATGATTTTGTTGTATCGCAATATCGCGATAAAATTATGGAAAGCTACTCACTTTTCGCCTTCAGCCATGTATAACTGGACGATTCACCAGCGTCGTTAGACGCGAGGCACTGAAACATCCCCGAATCGTCCATAGTCAATTTCTTGATCGTCAGCGAACCGTCCTCTTCCAAGGTGTATCTGCAAAACGCGCGTAGACACCAAGATTATTAAATCGCGCGCCTCAGCTCGATGATGATTGAATCGCGCAACAATCGCCAAATTAGATACAGAATCGATATTGAAAACATTTACTTATAATATATTTCTCTTTAAAAATATTTGCGGAATTAAGAGGAAATTTCCAGACAAGATTCTGAAAGTTGAAGTGAGAATAATTGAAAGAGTGTTATAACTCTGTCTCCTTCTTTCTTGAACTCCAACGATTGCAAAGGTAAATATTTGTGCGTACCTGGTTCCCAGTAAATAATCAACGGACTCGGCATTACGGAACCAACTGATTGTAGGAGGCGGCACGCCGTTAGCATCGCAGGGTAACGTTACTGTAGATCCGTAATCGCTCAGAGTTTCCCTCTTTAGCTCCGTTATGAACGTCGGTTTTTCTACAGAGATAAAACGAGAGTCTCAAGAAGGAATCAAGTTGACGTATGAATTAACAAACAAAGAGATGTCGAATCAACAAGTTCAACACATATTTAATAACTCGGTTATTTTTATCTCCATGATAATTAAAAGCCGAACAATGTGTCGCTTTGCTGAAAAATAATTACATAATTTTGTGTAGCTTTCGCCGACTCATTCATTTGCACGCGTGTCATCGCTTACCATAAACGACGACCTTGGCGCTTGCATTCACCGTCGGATAACCGCCGCTTCTCAGATCCACGTGGCAGGAATAAATTCCCGTGTAAGTTATATTGGCTGAGATCAGTGCGAGCGTCCTGTTCCACGAATCGTTGAAGCTGTACGATATCCTGGAATTCTCGATCGGAATACCGTCCTTCATCCACAAGGTCCTTAGCTCGTGAAGCGATCTGAAACAATACGGCTTCGTTTCGAATCTTTCTGGAGAAAGACAATACTGCTCTTTGCGCACCAACATGGAGGAACAATCATAACTTTGATTACCTGGCATTTGCAATGCAATTTATATACGTGACGTCTTGATCTTTGATTATTTGCGTGTCCTCTGGCTTGACGATTATAGTGGGCGCTACTTCCGCGTTCGGATCGCCAGTGACCCGTAGCTTGAAGAACGGACTGTTCTCCTCTTTGCCCAGTTGAGTGTTGATGGCTTTCGCTCTGTGCAAACACGATAAACAGAGATGTAAGTTCAAATTCCGAACTCAATTCTTGTAAAGCTACTTTGAAATAAATCTCTAGCTTGAATTGCAAAATTTTCAATCTGAAAACCAGACGTTCGCACAAATGTATGCACGAAAATTATTATGATACTATCATGTAAAACGTGAGCTTCGATATTTGCTTAAATTACTGTGAACAAACTTGTTCTGATTTTGTTATTCATTTAACTATTATTTTTTGCAGTGTGAATATTCACGACGTTACATATAAATCATTGTTCTAATTGCGATTAGTTGTCATGTCAGTTATAATATTATTGTAAAAGACGATCATCATCATCAACAGAGAAGATTTGAAGTTGCACACAGAAAAATATCATTCTATTGCTAAGAAAAGTAATTACTCGGCTTACTTTTCTTTTTTTAAGTAACAATTATCTTTAATAAAGAATATTTTCTTGATAATAGTCTTAAAATATACTCATCACAAATTTTTGATAATCTCATTATCATGTACTCAAAAGAAGTAATTATTTTTTGGTGAAGAATATTATAAAATTGTATCGAAGAAAAGTCAGATTTGGCTAATTTAATAAGCAAATAGAATTCTTTTTTAAATTTAATATTCTTGATTGAAGTATTAAACTTACTGGGATCAAAATATATTTTGAATAATTTTGATGCTTATGATGAACTTACGATAGATTTGCGGATATATGAACTTATAAAATACTTAAAACAAGTAATATTTACTTAAATACAGTATGTATTTTTCTGTGTGTGTGTGGACTGAGAATATATACATCAAAAAAGATCATATTCGTGACGAAACGTCAATTTGTAACCCTGAATTATATTATATTCTTGAAGATCCTACAATTATTTCTGAGATTTTTGACAAAAGAAAAGACTTCATACGAGCTGCAGTTAGAAAGCTATTACGACACCGCGTCTCAATTTATACGAACCTGTAGGAGTCCTCGTCGTTCTCCGAGGCGTTTAATATGAACAGTGTGTGATGCGTCGTGGCGTATTTTATACCGTACAGGGGCGTCCCGTCGGCGGAGAACCACGTCACCTCGGGAATGGGATGGCTTTCAATCGGGGGTAGTTCCAGAATCGCGGCACTGCCCGATTCGACAGCCACGACCTTTTCCGTGAGATCGTCGAACGTCCCCATGTCTGAGCACAGATCAGAACGTCGTGTTTTCGGTCGCACAAAGACCCGTGACGGGCGGGCGATTTATTGTACTCACAAGCTACGGCGAAGGTGAGACGATCGCTGAATATGGAACCCACGTCGTTTGTCGCGACGCAGTGATACACACCGGCGTCCTCCCGCCGTGTGCTCTGAATGCGGTAATAAGGCCCTGTAGTGAGCTCCCCGTTGCGGAGGGGCACGCCGTCTTTGAACCATTTGTACTTTGGTTGTGGATTGCCTGCGAAAAATGTAAACAAATGTAAAAGGCCAAAGAGCCCGAATCAACGTCGAAAAATGTACAATTGATCGAAAGATAAATACGTTTCTTGCGCGCTCTCTGAATAATTATCTGATTAAATGCCGCGATTGAAGATAATCGTGTAGACCCATGAATGATTCAATGCGATTTCCGTTTGCAAAGTCACGGACGATACTATAGTTCCGTGAGCTATCTAATACCATTAGTACAGGGTCATACGATCGAATTACACGGAGCTGAGCATCTGTAAGGCTTCATCTGGTCTTCCTCCGCCTGTTATTCGATATTTCTGCAGGACAATGGAACGCTACGCGGCGAACCTTATCCGCTACTGCGCTCCTTATAAATTTCCTTCGCTCTCTTATATTAATGCCGCCCTAATGCAGTACTAAAATATTTTTAAATCATTCTCAGATGTTTCTATAAATTATACCAGCTGAGAGATAATGATTAATTAATTAATGAGAAAATATTGATAAACAGAGCGGAAATAATAAAGCGATTAATTTTGAAATCGCATTAAACAAACGAAAGTAGAATTTATAATTGTCTCTAAATTTTGCTGAAACTGTTTCAGTACTGAATTAGAGCAGCGATATTTTTCACAAAAAAAAAAAAGAGTAAATCTCTGCTCAGGGCTAAGCTCGAAAATTCTCTCTTTATTAGCCTCGTGTCATCAAAATCATTAGATAGAAAATATCTAAAAAAAAATCCGATCCTTACCTCTCGCTTGGCATTGCAGAAACTTGGTGCGATTCTCGCTAAGTATATTGCCGCTGCTCGATGGCTGATTGGTGAAGCGCGGCTCCTGAAGTGGTTCTGCGAACAGAGAAATGTGCGTGAATTTATAATAAATCGGTATAAAACTTTTATCGTCGACTCGATCGTAAATTTTTATCGCAATATCGGTTGTTTTATTATTGCACACGGGAATTCCACACGGCTGACGGACAAACGAGTCAGACGGACACATGCGTGAAAAATGTAGGCAATTTACGATGCTCCAAAAAGAGCGACGTAGGAAGGAATGCGAACGAACGAGCGCGGATGCCGAGGCGTCGAGTCACATACACATAATAAGCCCCCGACGCGCGCACCCTTCTGCATCTACCGGACGTTCCACGCTCCGATGATCCCGGCACACGGGCGCACCGGTATGCCGCAGTCTCTTGTCGCTTCCCGTGAAACCGTGGCTTTAATTGAGGACACACAGGTGAACTGACGATTCAACTAGCAAGAACTTTTCAGAGAACATCACACTTTCTAAACATTTTCCAGCTAAATATGAAAAAAAGAACTCGAAAGTTTATTTCCTTCAATAGTGCTTAAAAATGTTCACTTGTTGAGATACGTTTTCTAGGATTTATTTAAAAATACGTGCAATCTGATCAATCCGAAATCGGTTATTTAGACGTGAATTAGCGAGAAGAAATTTATTACAAATCAATATAAATATTGATTAATTTAAAATTGCAGTCTTATAATTAGTAAGATATTCAAGTAGATTTTACTTTAACAGAATAGTCATAAACATATAATATATATTGTTGGAAAGTCACGATGACTTTCATGTCGGAGAGAAAACGTCGATTCTAAAATCTGTAGAGCTAGAAAGATATTCGGTCGACTTAGAGCCTTTTTCAAAAAAAAAAATAATAACGTTAATTAAACCAAGTTATTTGTCGTTTGCTGCTTCAATATTTACGTTAAAGAAAAAGCGGACGTGAAAAATTCATCGCAATATCCCTCGTATAATTACTTTCGTATCTTCGTATTTTTCCCTTCATTGTAACAGAACAATGAATCATCCAGGATCCATTGTGGACATAAATGAATTAAACTTCTCATACGAAATGTTTCAGTCGCCCGTAAACATGATTAGTCGCGAGAAAAGTGAGGTTTATTTGATTCGACATTGTCAGCGTCTCAGGTGTCTCGTCTGTTTGCAAGTGAAGATCCAGTTTCCTCTTATCTCCTTATCGCACCTCGTGAAATCATAAAGCGGCACTATGTGACTTGCACAGCCCACCGATATGTGCGATGCGTGAAACGCGCGTGTAAACTCGGAGCTGTTGAATATCTAAGGCGCGATAGTAAACATCGTGTTATATTCTTCTCGTTTACTATCGTATTTTAAGCTTGTCGCGCTCCGTTCAAGAGCCGCCGTGCGTTGAACCTAGCACGTTTACGAGCGCATATTGTAAACATTTTGTTTCGTCGAGTACGAAAGGTGAAGCCAGATTGAAGATGTTAATGCAAGACTCGTTTGCGGTCGGCTAATTACCGCGCAGGTAAGCCGCCGTAGTGCTAAGCAGAGAAGGAAGTGTGTAAAAACGGTTCGCTCTAAATTCATCCTAAAGCAAATGTTGAAAGTTTATGCATCGTAGAGGATGCAAATTGCGAGCTAATTAGAAGCGGACTTTCGCGGAATTTTAATAAGAGAGAATTTCAATGGAGAGAAAGAAAGAAACAATGCTTAATCGTTTTCAAAACGAGATTCGCATGGATCTGCTGTCATGTATTCAAATATTTAATCAATTTCTAATCACAATTAATTTGCGAAAAGTAAAATAAATATCAACGGCAATTAAGAATTTTTACGTTAACTTTACAATTAAAATCGCAATAGAATTTTAAACTTTACTAATTTTTAAATAGATTTTATTTAAACCTTGCACTTTTGATTAGTTTCCTACCTTCTTTTATGCAAGAAATCTAATTATAAAATGTCAGTTTTTCTCGTATTAATTTTTAGCGATAACTAAAGTAAAATACATTCTCGTAATAAATTACTTCATTAGATGTCTCTTAAAAAATAAACGAGTAACACCAAAAATAAAGATTATAATTACGTTAATATTTTTTTAATACACCTGAAAGCATTATGAAACTTCTCTTCAATATATCTTTCAAACTAAATTATTCCCACGAAACCTTTTATGCATATTTTATACAGATAAATGCACATCACAAAATTAAATATGTATATCATCCCGCGGATCGTACAAAACGGACTACGGCAATCATCGTTGATTCTCCGAGCATATGTCCACATGCGTGCGCGTAGCCGAGGCCGCTGAAAAACACCCCATTTTAACCGACGCAGCTGTCATCGGGGGGGAAGAGGGGGGGGATGAAGCGGGGTGGCGTGTTTACCGAGGGGCGTGAATGCGGGACGCTTTCGAAAGGCTTTAGTTAACGGTAAATGAAGAAGTTCCTCTTTTGCGCCCGCGACCCAGAATCCTCCCGTCGGCCCGTTTATCTCGAAATAGCGGAGTCGTACGAATTCGGCTCGCCGCATGCTGACGACGCGGCGAGCGCGCGTTATAAATAATATGCTCGTGAGAAAAAAATCGAATTCTTCGGAGAGAAAAAAAGGGCAATTTAGAAGGCGCACTCGTACGGATTCGGGCGGTGATATCCGCCGGCTGATAACACACCGGGGTCGGTCGGTGGGGATGAGGCTCCGCAAAACGTTGCGCATTGCGTCTTACTGCACGCAGCCAGCTATATCGCAGTCGCGGGGTGCACGACTCCCCTCCCCCTTCACTGCAGTCTGCAGGTGGTCAACCCCGAGATTGTTACCCCCAAGTTTTCTGAACGCGCCATATGTTGCGAATATTTTACGGTGGTTTCTTGAAAAGAGTCTACCAAAAAATTTTTTTTCTACTTTTTTCCTATCTTTTATTTCCGTTTTCATCTCTTGATCTCTTCATCCACGCTACGTATGTATTGTGCATAATGAATATTAAATAAAATGTAAAATTTAAATGTGTTTGGTAAGAGTCTTTAATAGCTAAAAATAAAAAAGCAAGTTAAGATGCTCGGTTTCTATTCATAATATTTTTGTTACACTTAAGACAAATGTGGAACTCGTATTCTTACAATTATCGTCGGACAAATAAATATTTATGTGGTCGTGTTTTCCTCCCAACAATAAATGAAAGACAATACGAGAAATATATTGCCGATATATTGCTTGATTAACCCCGATCAACTTTTCATTCAAGTTTATTTAAATGCACCGGCGAGCGATCAATCGTTCGAAATGACCTGCGAACTTCCCTCGCAAATTTCCGAACACAATATAAATATGCGCTTCTTGTCTTTCTCTTAGTAAAAGTATCCTGGCACATTTCTGGAAGATTAAAAAATTTCGCTATAATTGAGCTCTGGCTGCAATAAACGTTCGTGCTTGGAACATTCTGCGCTACGAGCGACGTCCGCCTGTCGCTCGTGAGACATTGGCTCCGTGTAATGCGCTCGAATGCGATCGTGTGCACGAAGTCGGTGGCAGTTGAAACACGTTATCGGGGTGTCTGGCCGTTTGCCAGTAGGCCGAGGAGCGGGACGAGCGAGTTTCACGGTCGAGACCGGAATCCAGAAATCACTGGCACTTGCAAAAGGGAGAGAGAGAGAGAGACCGTGACCTCCCGTGTGGAGAATTCAACTAATATTGCGCAATTAATCTTCTATCATATTCTCATTAGTTCGAAAATAAAAATGGCACGTCACACGTGACTGCACAATATTTGAAATGCGTTCGATGGTGTTACATCGCGAGCTGCCAATCCGCGATGCTATTATACAACGCCATCCGACACGCGATATTCGCGAAATTTTCGTCGCCGCCATTGTTCGAAAATTAGCACAACTATAGTCTCGTACGCAACGGTTCCTTTGTTACGTCGCCTCTGTGGAAATATTTACAGTTTCGTGAGATTTTACGGGAAGATTGCGCGTAAGGGCGTGCGAAAGCAAGTTTTAATCAATGTGTTGCGTCTCGAAGTGTGTTCGATGTAAGAAAAAAAAAATGTTGAAAAATATTTTTCCTGACGTTGAAATGTTTATCTCGCTAATGCAGTGATCAATTTTCGAAGACTTGTTCAAATAAACATACGAATTGTACGACACCTTGTTGGCTTACATCTTCCAAACTCAATAATAGAATGTAAAGCAGACAACTTCCTCGTATATGACGACTTATTCAGTCGATTGAATTCGACAACGATTACCGAGTCGACGAGCCGGAATTTGGAACAGAAAGGAATGCTCATTTTTTTTTTCAGGAGTTTGTCTGGAAATAACTGACGATGGAGTGCACTCGCTAATATATACAACTCGCATATGGCGCCGAGTAGAAGTTCAGAAGCATGTGAAGCCCGTGTACGAAATCGCTGCCACGTGTTGTTAGCGGGGTCGCCGCACGTTCAACGCGTCGTAAAAAAGACGAAAATTGAATTAGTTCGAGCGCACTATGTTCCATTGAGCGTAAACAACCCGCGTCGGGAAATGCGGTCGATGTTAACGAGTCGAAGGAAATCGGGTTCTAATCCGCGAATTTTTCAGCTACAGAAAACACATATCGATTGTCAGATCGATTTTGTCCACCTCGCTTATTTAAATTCTCGATTGTCTTCCCAGATTTTATTTGCGAGCAATACAGAAATGAATTTAGAAACCGACGTGTGTCATTCGGATAAAAATTTGTGTCACACATGTGACAAAAGAATATTAAGCCGCTGTTAGACATCCTAGAAATAAGAGTTAAACATTTATTTATATTTAAATACGATAAAATACAATATACAAGTTTTAAATTTATTTTTTTTCAAGCATTAGACGAACATTAAGTTATGTCACAATAAACATTAACTCATAATAAAATAGAATAGGACTTTTAATGTTTCTAACCGCTGTATGCAAATCAGTAATGTATACAAGGTGTCATCATTCGTTAATAGTAAATTTCTGAAATTTCTTATAAGGTAAGAACATAAAAATCAAGCGTGCTTGATGTGAATTATTAACAATCTGAT